CACTTGGGCTCCCTGCACATGGTGAAGCCATGTGGAGCTGCCATGGAAGGTGAGCTCTGGTACCAGGGAGATTTCATTTGTCCATCCATCTACCCACCCACTCACCCATTAATCCATCCATCCATCCATCCATCCAATCATCCATCCACCCACCCACCTACCCATCCACTCACTCATTTCTCCCTCCCCCTGTCCATTCATCCAGCCATCCCTTCATCCACCCATCTGTCCATCCATCCACCCATCTACTCAACCACTCATCCATCCTTTCATTCATCCATACCTCCATCCATCCACCTGTCCATTCAGTAATCCATCCACCCATCTCATCCATCCACCCACTCACTCACCCATCCATCCATCCATCCATCCATCCATCCATCCATCCATCCAGCCAGCCATCTCATCCATCCACACACCCACTGACCCATTCATCCCTCCTCCCTCCCTCTCTCCCATCCAGACCTCCCTCCCTCCCTCCATTCATCCATTTGCCCATCCATCCATCCATCCATCCATCCATCCATCCGTCCATCCATCCACTTGCCCACTGACCCATTCATCCATCCTTCCCTCCCTCCACCCATCCATCCATTCATCCCAACCATCCATCCACTCACCCACCGAAAGCAAAGTTATTGAGTGCATCTTCTGTGAGGGTGACCATCGGGGATCCACATGGGCTTGCTACCTTTGAGGCATTCAGAGCAGGAAGGCCAGCAAGGGTCACACAGTGTGGCCAAGGTGGTGAGGACAGTGTTCAGTGAAGGGATGTGACACCTGGACCAAGTCTTGAGGAGCAAGTACCCCAAGGTGTCTGGACTCCTGAGGCACAGCTCCCCCCGCGATGGTCCTGGCCCCGGGCTGCCCTTTCCCCAGTGGAGCCTCCCAGTGCCTGCCTGCCCAGCGGAGGCCTGGCCTGGTTTCGGCCTCTCTAAATCCCTCACCTGAGAACAAACACTCTGTGTGCTCACCTGCTCACCCCTCACGCAGCGTGGCCCCAACATCCAGCCTTTCACCCCCGCAGCCTTGGGAGGTGATGCACACACCTCCCTCCAGGGGTCTCAGAACCTTTGGAGGCCCAGAAAGTGGGCATGCTTGGGGGTCTGAGTTTGCTCTGGGAGGTGGGCATGGCTGGTGTTTTAGTTGACCTCCCTTGAATCCTCAGATGCTGCCTGCCAGGGTGCAGGCCTGGGTCTTGCCACTCTGTCCCTGTGCGGGGCTGCGGCGGGGGCTGGGTCCTCCTTGGTGTCCAGAGGGTTGAGAACCATGGCTTCTTAGGGTGTGCTCTCCAGCTGCCCACCAAGGCAGGGCCAGAGTCATGGTGCTGGGGGTGGGTGTGAGACCCCACCACCCTGGTTAAGCCCAGTTGGCTGGGCCTGGGCAGCCTGGTGCTGGCAGGGTGGGCAGCGACAGGGTGGCTCAGGCTGGAAGAATGGGTGTGGGCCAGCATGGCCTCCTGTGCCCTGAGTCACTGGTCTTATGACGGAAGCACAAGATATCCAGTGACTCAGTTTCCCCTTCTGTAATGTGGGCTGATAATCAGACCTTCCACATGGGGGAGATCATGGAAAAATGGCCCCAGATGACAGTGGCTGAGGAGTGGGTGGCCTGCACTTGCCGAAGGCTGACATTTCAGTGATCAGCAATGGGGGCCACCTTTGCACCAACACAGGCCATGGGGGGAGGGGCTGCAGCGGGGAATGCAGGGGGCCGCGGTGTGGGTGGGTGGGGTGCTCTCTGGGAAACCAGGCTCCGTGCGGGTCCCCCATCCCCGTGGGAGCACTGGTTCTGCAGGGAAACACCAGCGGGCCGTCGGGTTACTCTAGGGATGTGGCTCATGCAAGGGTGGGGGCCGCTGGCTGGAGACCCCGGAGGCCAGCTGGAGGGCACTCACCGAATTCTGTAGAGGACATATGTCTCTTCCTCATGGCCCTCTGTGGATTGTGTGAGACCCGCCTGCCTCGCCAGGGTCACATTTGAGAAATCCCTTCACAGCAGCATCCAGCCCAGCGCCCAGCCAGAGACTGGAGCCATGGCCCGCCGGGCAGACCCACAGACACTGCCTGAGCCAGAAGTGAGCCACTGGACGGGGTGGGGGACGTGCCTGCTGTCTTCGGCTCCCCCAGCAGCACAGGGGTTCCCTCTGCTCCCCTCCTTCCCCAGCCTCCTCTTCCTCCTCCCCTCCCTCCTCCTCCCTCTCCTTTCCCTTCTCCCTCCTCCTTCAGTGGCTCTGACCCCTGAATGGCTGCCCCTCACCGGGCTTCCTGGTGAGTCAGGTTTGTGGACACACAGTGGGGAGGGGGCATCACTTCAGGTGCCGCGTGACGTCTGTGCTGCCTCCTCCCTGCAGTCACGACTCAACTCCGTGCTGGCCTTGGTGACAGCCTCTCATCAGGGTAAACACGCCGGGTGTGGGTGGGGCAGGGAGAGGCCGGGAGGCCAGGATGCTGTCTGTGTGGGGGTCTGAGCTCCATGTGGCCCCGGCTCTGAGTCCCAGCCGGGGCCTGAGGCTTGGGCAGCCTGACGTGGGGCCGGGGCTGTCGGCTCCTGGCTCCACAGCATCCCGCTTGCCTCTGGGCGGCTGTCACATCCTTGACACAGAAAGCAGAACCAACAGGCAGCTTTCTTGGAGTGGTCAAAGCCCCCACTCTCTCATGACACCGGGGCCCTCGAGCCCCAAGGGAAAGCCACAGGGTGGTGACTGACAGGGTCCCAGGGCGGTGACGGGGTCCCAGGGTGGTGACAGGGTCCCAGGGCGGTGAGTGACGGGGTCCCAGGGCAGTGATGGGGTCCCAGGGCGGTGATGGGGTCCCAGGGCAGTGACGGGGTCCCAGGGTGGTGACAGGGTCCCAGGGCGGTGAGTGACGGGGTCCCAGGGCAGTGATGGGGTCCCAGGGTGGTGAGTGACGGGGTCCCAGGGCGGTGACGGGGTCCCAGGGAGGTGACGGGGTCCCAGGGCGGTGACGGGGTCCCAGGGCAGTGCGGCTGTCCACTCTCCCACCCTGCCAACCTGCGCAGCCCCATCGCCTCCACGACCCCAGTAGATGCTGTGAATCCGGCAGTGGGGACTGGCCGGGGCTGGGAGTCAAAGAGGTCGGGGACACTCTCGCTGTGGGGGTGCCAGTGACTCCAGTCACCCTGGCCTGAGGGACTCCTCACTGCTGTCTTCCCCAGCTCCCTTTCCCCGTTAGGAATGGGCCTCAGCTCTTTGCACCTCACCCCACAAAGGGCTGCCCGTGAGCTCAGACAGGGCTGTCACCTGGGACCTGGCCACGGGCCGAGAGGGGTGTTAGGGTTAAACCCCTGAGTCTGGGCACGACCACTGCCAGCCCAGAGGGGACACAGGATCAGGGCACCTCATGCTTCAGGGCAGGAGGGGCTGTGCTGGGCAGCCTGTGCTCGGCCAGGGTCCCTCCAGTCTCCCTAGGGCAGGGAGCCTGGCCTGGACAATCTGCCCCAAGGCCCCTTGGGGGGTGGGGGCCGAAGTTGGGGCCATCCTTGGGTTTTCCCAGGGCTCAGTGCCAGTGTGTGGAGGCCACACAGGGAGGTGGACAATGGTCCCCTCTGGCCTGACCCTGCTGGCTCCAGTTTCCTAATCCCCAGTCCTGCTGGGGCCACACACTCAGCTTCCCCCATGTGCCAAGGTCCTGGCAGGGAGCACAGACCCAGGCCCCAGCTCCTGGCCACCCTCGTTCCTGACGTCTCGGCAGGGTGGGGACCCCTGTGGGTCCTGAGTGGGAGATGGAGCTGGAGGGCCAGGCTGGGGAAGGTTGGCAGGGCTCCCCGACCTGGCTCAGCCCAGGTGAGGGCTCCAGCTCCAGGGGGTCGCCGCCTCTTTGGGGGAGCCTGGTCCGAGAAGCAGGTCAGCCAGGGAAAGAGGCCTGGTGCCTCGGGCCCCGAGTCTCCATAATTGTTGGGGTGAGCTCTCCCCACAGCCATCATGCTGCTAGCACGTCCCCCTCCCCTTGGGACAAAGCCATAAACCCAACTCAGGGCCGGGCTCTATTTTCAGGGGGAGAAAAATGTAGCGGTGGGGAGGGCCCCAGACCTCAGTTTACCTACTGGCTACACCTGCCTGTGTCCTCCCGGGCCAGGGCGAGCACTGGTGTGCCCAGGGGTCTCACGGTTTGTGTCTCTGTGAGCTGCAGTTCTCCAGGCTTTTCCACACACCTGCTGGGCTCGGCGGGTGACACTGAGACTCATCAGAGGCCCAAGCCTCAGGGGCCTGACCCCCACCCCGACTGAGAGGTGGCTCTGGGGAGCATGGGCGAGCTGCTCCCTTCTCAGCCCTCAGCCCTGACGTCCGCAGAAGAGACAGATGGCCACTTCCGGCCACCAGCTGGCTCCCCACGTGCGGGATTCTGTAACCTTTCCCCTGGCGGGGCGGGTACCCCTCAAGTTCCAATTACATGTAATTCCAGAGACTGGCTCAGCCTGGGAAAAGGATGGGCTTAGAGGGTGGTGGGAGGCTGGGGCCTCTGACAGCTCTGTGAGCCTGGCCAAGCGTTCCATGCAAGTCAGTGGCCCCCCAGGACCCCAAAGGATCCCATATCCTCCCTGCTCTCAGGGAGACCCCTTCCTGGGTCAGGCCTAGAAGCTGCCCCAGGGCTTGGGCCCCAGAAAGGGTTTGGTCTTCCCAGGGTAACGTGAGCCTGATCAGACCTGGGACTGGCTCAGTGGGGACCTGGGGGCCCATGGGGGGCTACGGAGCCTGAACAGACATTCTTCTGGCAGGACACCCCTCCCCCAGCCACCCTGGGCTCATCCCACTAGTGGCTGGACGTGCTCCCTGGGTGTGTGTTGGCATTCGGGCTGCAGGGCTGCCGCATCCTGAAGAAGGCTGCGTTCGCCCAGGAAGCCATAAAGAGATGACCTCTGATAACCTGAACCAATATTTCCCCACGGCCCGGGCCCCCACAGCTGTCTTCCTGATCATCTGGCAAACGCCACACCCACCCCTTGGCCCTCCTCTACCTTCCCGCCCTCCCACTCCTGCTGGGGCATATAAGGCCCCGACCCCTGTGCCCGGGCGCAACCTACACCGCCCCTTCCAGCCACCATGGGGCTGCCACTAGCCCGCCTGGCAGCCGTCTGCCTGGCCCTGTCTTTGGCCAGGGGCTCAGAGCTCCAGACAGGTGAGAGGGCAGAGTGTCCTGGGGCCGGGGCTGGGGGGCAGGCCAGTCGCACCCAGGAGGTGGAGGTGGTTGCCGAGTGCCTCCTAGCGATCTGGGCGGCTCAGCTGAGGCTCTGGGCCTGGGTTCTAGCCCCCAGCTCTGCTGACTTTCAAGGGGCTGGAAGGACGGGGTTCCCCTGCCATTCCTTTGGGGTTGACTGCCCAACAACACTGTGGGTCCCCAGCCAGCACCAGGTGGAAACAGCAGCCCAGGCCCCAGTGAGCTGGGTCATTGTCTGCCGGGGAGGGAAGGGTGGCCAGGACCCCACCAGGAGGCCCCCGTCTCAGGTGGCAGAGACCCCGGAAGGGTGGAGGCTGCATAGCCCTTGCTGGGGTGCCCAGACCCCCTCCCCTACACCCTGCTCGGCACCCGGCCTCACTCCTCGCTGGGTGAGACCCCTGGGGTGGGGTGACCAAGGCCCAGCAGTGGGAACCTTTCCCGGCCAGGGCCTGTGCTGGGCTCGAAGCTGCTTCCAGGTCTTCCGTGGGGCCCTCCTCCCGAGGGCAGCGTGGGCAGCCTTCCCCGGCCGGCGCCCCTCACCCCTCGTCCCCGGCTACTCCCTCAGAGGGCAGAACCCGAGACCACGGCCACAACGTCTGCAGCGCTTGGGGCGACTTCCACTACAAGACCTTCGACGGCGACGTCTTCCGCTTCCCCGGCCTCTGTGACTACAACTTTGCCTCCGACTGCAGAGGCTCCTACAAGGAATTCGCCGTGCACCTGAAGCGGGGTCTGGACCAGGCCGGGGCGACCCCCCAGGTGGAGTCCATCCTGCTGACCATCAAGGACGACACCATCTACCTCACCCGCCACCTGGCTGTGCTGAACGGGGCCGTGTGAGTGTGGCGGGCGGCGCCTCTCCCCCGTCCAGCAAAGGGGGTCGATGGCTCCCGAAGGGGTCTCCCTCGTAGCGAGCGCCTTTCTGTCCCAGCACACAGCTTAGGAGAACAGCCTTGCAATTTGGGTTCAGGTCACTGATCCATTCAACAAACACTGATGAACCCAGGCAAAGGGTTTTATTATCCCTTTTGCGTGAGGCCCGGACGGCTCCTCCCCTCGTGGGAGCCCACCAGGCTCTGGGCGGCCTTGGCACCCCGGAGGCTCCTGTGTCTGGTCCTGGGCCTGGAGTGGCCGTGTGCTCCATCCCCAGGCTACAGTTACAGAAGCGGGTGCAGGGGGTCTGTGGGGGACCCCTCCCCACCCCCAGCTATTGTTGTGCTGTTGTCTCCTGAACAATGAGGCCCTGTGGGTGCGTTCCTGTCCAGCGGGTTCTCCACCTGCAGGGCTAGCCCTTCTTCAGCCTCGGGGATTCAGTTCTCTGCAAGGGGCTCCAGTGTGGGCGTGGGTGGGAGGTAGAGGCCCTCAGGTGTGGGTGAGGGTGGGAGGTAGAGGCCCTCAGGTGTGGGTGAGGGTGGGAGGTAGAGGCCCTCAGGTGTGGGTGAGGGTGGGTGGGAGGTAGAGGCCCTCAGGTGTGGGTGAGGGTGGGTGGGAGGTAGAGGCCCTCAGGTGTGGGTGAGGGTGGGAGGTAGAGGCCCTCAGGTGTGGGTGAGGGTGGGTGGGAGGTAGAGGCCCTCAGGTGTGGGTGAGGGTGGGTGGGAGGTAGAGGCCCTCAGGTGTGGGTGAGGGTGGGTGGGAGGTAGAGGCCCTCAGGTGTGGGTGAGGGTGGGAGGTAGAGACCCTCAGGTGTGGGTGAGGGTGGGTGGGAGGTAGAGACCCTCAGGTGTGGGTGAGGGTGGGAGGTAGAGACCCTCAGGTGTGGGTGAGGGTGGGAGGGAGGTAGAGGCCCTCAGGTGTGGGTGAGGGTGGGAGGTAGAGGCCCTCAGGTGTGGGTGAGGGTGGCTGGGAGGTAGAGGCCCTCAGGTGTGGGTGAGGGTGGGTGGGAGGTAGAGGCCCTCAGGTGTGGGTGAGGGTGGGTGGGAGGTAGAGGCCCTCAGGTGTGGGTGAGGGTGGGAGGTAGAGGCCCTCAGGTGTGGGTGAGGGTGGGAGGTAGAGACCCTCAGGTGTGGGTGAGGGTGGGAGGTAGAGGCCCTCGGGTGTAGGTGAGGGTGGGAGGTAGAGGCCCTCGGGTGTGGGTGAGGGTGGGAGGTAGAGGCCCTCGGGTGTAGGTGAGGGTGGGAGGTAGAGGCCCTTGGGTGTGGGTGAGGGTGGGCGGTACAGACCCTTGGGTGTGGGCACAGATGGGAGGGTAGAGATTCTCAGGTGTGGGCATGGTGGGTGGGACAGGTAGAGGCCCTTGGGCACTGAGGTGCAGAGGCTGGGGTGAATGCCTCTACCTGGGCCAGCTCGGGCACCAGCAGAAGGTGGGGTAGGGCCCTGACAGCCTCACGGGCAGCCTGGGGGTTCCCATGGGGGGTTGTTTCACTGAGCAGGGGGCCTAGTAGGGGGCTGGGCAGCCTGGCCCTCCCTAGTCTCCCAACCTGGTGTCCTCAGGGCCCTGAGAGGGGACCCTGCCCCGGACTGTGCCCTGAGAGGGGACCCTGCCCAGGACTGTGCTCCAAGGAGAGAGTGAAGAGGGCTGTACAGGCCGGAGGTGGCTCTGCGGGGAAGCCCAACCAGCGGAGATGGACCGGGGCTCTTAGGCCACGTCCACTGACCTGGACAGAGCCGCCCCCACCACTCACACACAGCTTCAGTCCCCTCCGGGCTGCAGGGTCCCGGGAGGACAAGCTGGGGTCGGCGGGGCGGTCTGGGCGGTGGTGAACCCAAGAGTGACCCCAACATGCTCCGGCCAGGGTCAGCACCCCGCACTACAGCCCTGGGCTGCTCATCGAGAAGAGTGACGCCTACACCAAGGTGTACTCCCGAGCTGGCCTCGCCCTCCTGTGGAACCGCGAGGATGCGATCATGGTGCTCAGGGGCCCTGGGCTTGTGGGGCTGGCAGGGGCTCCGTCAGGCCTCTGGGTGGACCCCAAGGGAGGGCAGGGCAGGCAGGGCGTGGCGCTGGACTTGGGGGGCAGCAGCAGAAGCCAGCCTGGCCCTGACCCCTGGGCCTCACCCTTCCTCCAAACGCACTTGGCTTCTGGGTCACCTGCCCTCCCTCCTGTCCCACCTTCCTCTGGCTCAAATGAGCAGCGAGGGGGTTCCTGGCCGCTGTCCCAGAGGCCGTGGGCCGGGTGGGAGGCCAGCTCACCCGCTCCCTCCCCAACAGCTGGAGCTGGACAGTAAGTTCCGGAACCGCACCTGTGGCCTCTGCGGGGACTACAACGGCCTGCAGAGCTATTCCGAATTCCTCTCTGACGGTGAGGCTCAGAGGACTTGGCGGGGCGGGTGGGCTGGGGGCTCCCGGGAGCCCCGCTGAAGGCCGTGCCTCCCCAGGCGTGCTCTTCAGTGCCCTGGAGTTCGGGAACATGCAGAAGATCAACCAGCCTGACGTGGAGTGCAAGGACCCCGAGGAGGAGCCGGCCGCAGCGTCCTGCGCCGAGCACGTGAGTCCCCTCGTCCCGGGTGGGGGTCCCGGCGGAGCTGGCCTCTGAGCAGCGTGCTCACCCACGTCCATTCCCAGCGCGCCGAGTGTGAGCGGCTGCTGACCGCCGAGGCCTTCGCCGACTGCCCGGACCGGGTGCCGCTGGAGCCGTACCTGCAAGCCTGCCAGCAGGACCGCTGCCGCTGCTCCGGCGGGGACACCTGCGTCTGCAGCACCGTGGCCGAGTTCTCCCGCCAGTGCTCCCACGCCGGCGGCCGGCCCAGGAACTGGAGGACCGCCTCGCTCTGCCGTAAGCGCCGGTGCCCTGCGGGCAGGGGACTCCGGGGGGACCCCACGCTGTCCCCCCAAGCCTGGAGGTGGGGGTGGGAGCAGTGTCTGCGCAGGGGACCGGGAGCGGGGGGATGCTCACCTCGGGCTGGGAGCCCTTCTTGCCGCACCTCGGGGTGGAGCCGCTGCTGTGCCCCAGCCTCACCCTCACCTCGGGCCTCTGTGGTTGCAGCCAAGACCTGCCCCGGGAACATGGTGTACCTGGAGAGTGGCTCGCCCTGCATGGACACCTGCTCACACCTGCAAGTGAGCAGCCTGTGCGAGGAGCACCGCATGGACGGCTGTTTCTGCCCGGAAGGTGCGTGTGGAGGAGGCCCTGCCCCGGCACTGCCCACCGGGCGAGATGCCTGCAGCCCTGGCCTCGGGTTCTCACCTGTGCTGAGGGGACGGCTCTGCTGGGTGGTGGGGGCAGTGGCGGCACAGAAGTGCCTCTGCCTCCACCCAATACCCGGGCGGGTCCAGGGAGAAGGGGCCTCAGTGTCAGGCTCTTCCCCAAGGCTGGCTTTGGGGAGGCCGGGAAGGGGGCTGCCTTCTGGTTATCACCCTGGGGACAGACCTCCTACTGCCTGGCCTGGAGGCTGGAGCCCCATGGCCAGACCCTGACCCAGGGACTGGGTGGAGACCACAGGTGTCAGCCCAGAGGATCAGCGGTGCCTGCGGGTGGGAGGCCTGGCCGGGAGTCCCCCCAGTGGGGATTCTGGCTCTTTCTGAGCTAGCCGGGGTGACGCTGCCTCCCTGGCCGTCCCAGGCACCGTGTATGATGACATCGCGGGTGGCGGCTGTGTTCCCGTGAGCCAGTGCCACTGCAGGCTGCACGGACGCCTGTACACACCAGGCCAGGGAATCACCAGTGACTGCGAGCAGTGGTGAGTCCTGGGCCAGGGCTGGCACGGCAGAGGTGGGGGCGGCAGAGCCCTGACCCTGTGCCCTCCGCTCAACAGCATCTGCAACGATGGCCGCTGGGTGTGCAAAGACCTGCCCTGCCCCGGCACCTGCACCCTGGAAGGCGGGTCCCACATCACCACCTTCGATGGGAAGAAGTTCACCTTCCATGGGGACTGCTACTACGTTCTGGCCAAGGTAGAGGCCGTCCAGGGGCTGGGGCACGGGGCAGAGCTGGGCTGGCATCCAGGCCCTCAGCTGTCCGGGGGTGGTGGGCCGGCTGTCCGTGAAGCACAGGGTGCCCGTGGGCTGTCTCGGGGCAGGTGATGGGGCTTCTGCTCTCTGGCTGGAGGATGAGAAGTGGGCCTTCCCTTCTAAGCCACTGCCGGGTCCTAGGGTGCAGGGTGCTGTCCGCCCCGGCCCTCAGCGGCTACTCTGCCTCCTGTCCTGTCACAGGGTGACAATGATTCCTACGCTCTCCTGGGCGAGCTGGCCCCCTGCGGCTCCACGGACAAGCAGACCTGCCTGAAGACGGTGGTGCTGCTGGCCGACAGGAAGAAGAATGTGAGTGGCCCTGCCCTCTCCTTCTGGAGCCCCCGGTCCCCCGAGGGGGCCCTTCCCTGCCCTGAGCATCCTCGGCCCTTCCCCAGGTGGTGGTCTTCAAGTCCGACGGCAGCGTGCTGCTCAATGAGCTGCAGGTGAACCTGCCCCACGTGACTGGTGAGTAGCGCCCAGGGAGGGGCCCGGGCCCTTCGAGCTCCACGGGGCCTGCAGTGATTCGGGCAGTCCAGATGCCTCCGACCCAGGAGGCTGGGTGGGAAGATCCCACACTGGGAGGGTCCCTGTGACCCCCCGCAGACTCCGTCCTGGGTCCTCTGATGGAGGGGGCGGTGGGAGGGTGGCACCTTCCCGCTGCTCACCTGGGCCTGGCAGGTCCCGGGACCCCGCCCCTCACCCCGCCCATCTCCGTGCCCCTCATCGTGCCCCTCACCGTGCCCCTGCCTGCAGCGAGCTTCTCCATCTTCCGCCCATCTTCCTACCACATCGTCGTGAGCGTGGCCGTCGGCCTCCGGCTGCAGGTGCAGCTGGCCCCGGTCATGCAACTCTTCCTGACGCTGGACCAGGCCGCCCAGGGGCAGGTGCAGGGTGAGTGGCTCCAGGGGCAGGTGCAGGGTGAGTGGCTCCAGGGGCAGGTGCAGGGTGAGTGGCTCCAGGGGCAGGTGCAGGGTGAGTGGCTCCACCGAGCTTGCCCCGACAAAGGCCCATAGGGGGCCCTGCCCTGCCAGCCCCAGACCCTTACCAACCTGCCCTGGCCCCTCAGGGCTCTGCGGGAACTTCAATGGCCTGGAAGGTGACGATTTCAAGACCGCCAGTGGGCTGGTGGAGGCCACGGGAACCGGCTTCGCCAACAGCTGGAAGGCACAGTCCAGCTGCCAGGACAAGCTGGACTGGCTGGACGACCCCTGCTCCCTGAACATCGAGAGTGGTGAGGCTCGGCAACGCGGGCACTCTGCCCAGCCCACCTGGGGGACCCGCCCATGGCCTCCATGGAGCCGGGGCTCCAGTCAGATGCGTGGGTGGGGAGGGCAGTTAGGCGGCTCTCCCCACGGGGCAGCACAGCACCTTTGACTTCCTGCTGGGGCTGCTTTATGGTGGCCATGCGGCAGCCTGCCAGGTGACCCGGAAGAGAGCCTGGGCTGGATCCTACTGGGATGCTGGGCCCTGGGTGAGAGATGGGAGGTGGTGGGTACCCTGCAGGGGGCTCTACCCAGCCTGGAGCTGCCTGGAAATCTGATTCCAGGGGAGGAAGGGGACTGGGCGTGGGTACACAGGGGGAGCCATGTCTGGGGTCCAGGGGATCTCATGGGGGTCCCAGGTCCCAATGAGGTTCCGATACCCTCTCCCCAGCCAACTACGCTGAGCACTGGTGTTCCCTCCTCAAGAAGACAGAGACCCCCTTCGGCAGGTGCCACTCGGCCGTGGACCCCGCTGAGTATTACAAGGTGAGTGGGACCCGCACCCCCAGCCCCCCACGCCATCGAGGTGGATGCAGGGCAGCCCCAGCCCCCCACGCCACACGTGAGGTGGACTCAGTGCACCCGGCCCGGCCCAGCCCGCGGGTTGTGCGTGTGAGGTATGCTAGCTTGTATGTGTGAGTGCCAGCCACTCTGTCCCCCGGCCTCACTGCCCACCCGCCTTGCTCTGTCACCCAGAGGTGCAAATATGACACATGCAACTGTCAGAACAACGAGGACTGCCTGTGCGCCGCCCTGTCCTCCTACGCGCGCGCCTGCGCCGCCAAGGGCGTCATGCTGTGGGGCTGGCGGGAGCGCGTCTGCAGTGAGTCTGCCCCTGCACGCTGCGTCCCGGGGATGGGTCTGGGCTTCAGGTTCCTGGGAGGGGGCTGGGGCCCTGAGCATGGGTGGTCCGGGGAGAGGGGTCGGCTCCCAGGCAGCTGCGGACCAGGCCCCAGCTTCTGAAGCTGGCAGTAGTGGGAAACCAGCCCCTCCCACAGCAAGGGGCAGCCACGCAGCAGCGATGGAACTGGGGACGGGCGGCCGAGTGTGGGAGTGGGTCCCAGAGTGTGCACGCCCTGGGGATGGGAGCTGGGTGTCTGGCTGCTCACGCCCCTCACGCCACCCGTGGTCCTCCGCAGACAAGGATGTGGGCTCCTGCCCCAGCTCACAGGTGTTCCTTTACAATCTGACCACCTGCCAGAAGACCTGCCGCTCCCTCTCCGAGGCCGACAGCCACTGTCTCGAGGGCTTCGCACCTGTGGACGGCTGTGGCTGCCCTGACCACACCTTCCTGGACGAGAAGGGCCGCTGCGTGCCGCTGGCCAAGTGCTCCTGCTACCACCGAGGCCTGTACCTGGAGGCGGGGGACGTGGTCGTCAGGCAGGAGGAACGATGGTGGGTGCTGGGCCCCGGGGACCTGGGAGGCTCTACCTGGGGAAGCTGAGATGCCCGAGGCTGAGGGGGGCCTGGGTGGGGGCTCCGAGAGTCGCCGGGCTCACCTGTGTCCCGGGGAAGCTGCTGCTGTCTGTGGCCATCCCCAGTGGGCCCTGCTCATCCTTGGCCTCTCCCACAGCGTCTGCCAGAATGGGAAGCTGCACTGTATGCAGATCCGGCTGCTTGGCCAGAGTAAGTGGCGCTGCCCCGTCACCCCTCCCCTCCACCCTGCCCCAGCCACCCCTCTCCGGCCACCCCTCCCCTGCCACCCCTCCCCTGCCCTCCTCCCTGCCCACCCCTCCCCATCCACCCCTCTCTGGCCACCCCTCCCCACCGCCCCTCTCCAGCCACCCCTCCCCGGCCACCCCAGCCTGGCCACCTCTCTCCGGCCACCTGCCTGCCCACCCTGGCCATCTGCCCCAGTCACCCTCCCCAGCCATTCCTCCCTGGCCTGGCCACACCTCCCCAGCCTTCCTGAGACCCTCAGCTTCAGCTGGAGCTGAGGTGGTCCCTCCGTCCCACAGGCTGCTCAGCCCCAAAAATCCACATGGACTGCAATAACCTGACCGCATTGGCCACCTTGAAGCCCCGAGCCCTCAGCTGTCAGACTTTGGCTGCTGGCTATGTGCGTGCTGGGGGTGCTGCTGTGGGTGGGGGGGTCCCTGGCTGGCTGAGCCTGGATCCTGAGCTGCGCCCCCGGCCAGGGTCTGGGTGCTGAGTCCTGAGGATGCAGGCCCTGTCCCTGGGAGGGAAGCGGCAGCCTGTGGGCCACTGGGGCACAGGGGCCAGTGTAGGGCCCTCGGCGGCAGCCCTTACCAGTCTCCCTGCCCAGTGGCGGACCTGAGAGTGGGGAGGCCTTAGCCTGGGCCAAGGAGAGAGGTGGGAGGTCCAGGACATAATGGAGACTGCATTGTCAATCCTGGCCGGGCATCCAATCCTGACCCCAGGGAGGGCTGCACCCTCACCTGTCCACCCCCGAATCCCACCCTCTGGCTGTCTCCAGTACCACACAGAGTGTGTCAGTGGCTGTGTGTGCCCCGATGGGCTGATGGACGATGGCCGGGGGGGCTGCGTGGTGGAGGAGGAGTGCCCCTGTGTCCACAACAAGGACCTGTACTCCCCCGGGGACAAGATCAAGGTGGACTGTAACACCTGGTAAGCTGGCCCGGCCTGTCCTGGCTGCCTCCCAGGCCCCACGTGCTCTACAGCGGTGGCCACTGGAGAATGGGCTGAGGGGCAGGTGCCTCTCCTGGGGGGGTCCGCCTGGGTGTGGTAGCCCCTGTCCCACCACGGGGGTGGGGGGTCTCTCATGTCAGCTGCTGGTCTTGAAGCCATGGGGGGAGAGGCATTTGGAGCCACTTTTGGGGCCAGCATGGACCTGCAGGTGTCCTGTGTGGGCGGCACAGGGAGCTGTCTGCCTGATGCCCAGGGTCTCCTCCAGGCACCCATGAGTGGGTGGGGGGGCCTTGGCCCCTGGGTCCCTTCAGGCTCCTCTCCTGTCCTCCTCAGCACCTGCCAGAAAGGACGCTGGGCGTGCTCCCAGGCCGTGTGCCACGGCACCTGTTCCATTTATGGGAGTGGCCACTACGTCACCTTTGATGGGAAGTACTATGACTTCGACGGACACTGCTCCTACGTGGCTGTTCAGGTGCGGTCATGGCCACGTCCTAGCCAGCTGCTTGTGGTCAGGGACCCCCTGCCTGCCCCGAGTGAGGCTTTCAGCTCCCTGAGAGGTCCTGAGATGTGGGAGCACTGGACTTTCCTCAGCCCCAGACCCACACCTGCAGGGAGATTTGGCCTTCCAGCCAGGGGTGGGCGGGGGTGGTAAAATCCCCTCTGCACCACCCAGTTCTGTGGCCCTCCTGTGGGTGTGGGTGGGGTTGACCGCCCAGCAATGGGGACTGAGGGGACCTGTATAGGGAGCTGAGTAAGGGCCAGGGCTAGGCCCCTGCCCACGAGGCTCTCTGGATCCAAATCCCACAGCCCTTTGAGGCACCATGATCCCTGGGGACAGGGGATGGGCCTGCAGTTGGTCAGGTCCCTGGATGGGCAGGAGCAGGGCCAGGTTTGTGTGCTCAGTGGCTGTGGCCCCACCAGCTAGGGTGGGTGTGCCCTGAGGGGTACCTGGGGCCCAGCCGTCCTGGCTGACCTCCCCCTCGTGGCCCCCAGGACTACTGCGGCCAGAACTCCTCACTGGGTTCATTCAGCATCATCACCGAGAACGTCCCCTGTGGCACCACGGGAGTCACCTGCTCCAAGGCCATCAAAATCTTCATGGGGGTGAGTGCCGCCGGCCCCGGGAACGTGTGAGCCCTGGGGGACCCTCAGGCCAGCCAGTGACTGGGGCTCTCCTCCGGGCAGAGGACAGAGCTGAAGTTGGAAGACAAGCATCGAGTGGTGATCCAGCGGGATGAGGGTCGCCACGTGGCCTACACCACGCGGGAGGTGGGCCAGTACCTGGTGGTGGAGTCCAGCACGGGCATCATCGTCATCTGGGACAAGAGGACCACCGTGTTCATCAAGCTGGCTCCCTCCTACAAGGTGGGCTGCCTCCCTGCCTGCCCTGTCCTCCCTGTCCTCTCCTGGCCGCCCCACCCCACATCCCCTACCCCAGTGTTTGCAAGACAAGCCCCTGCCCTCCTCCAGTCCCTTTTTGGAGTCCTGGGATGCTTGTCTCCTGCAGGGCACCGTGTGTGGCCTGTGTGGGAACTTCGATGACCGCTCCAGCAACGACTTCACCACGCGGGACCACATGGTGGTGAGCAGTGAGCTGGACTTTGGGAACAGCTGGAAGGAGGCCCCCACCTGCCCGGACGTGAGCGCCAACCCCGAGCCCTGCAGCCTGAACCCGCACCGCCGCTCCTGGGCGGAGAAGCAGTGCAGCATCCTCAAAAGCAGCGTGTTCAGCATCTGTCACAGCAAGGTGGGGGGCCGGCCATGGAGGGGCAGAGTAGGCAGGGAAGGGCTGTAGGCGGGCTGTGGCTGTGGGCGGGGCCGACTGTAGGCAGAGCAGTGCTATAGGCGGGCTGTGGCTGTGGGCGGGGCCATGGGCGGGGCCGACTATAGGCAGAACAGCGCTGTTGGTGGGCTGTGGCTGTGGGCGGGGACATGGGCGGGGCCGACTATAGGCAGAACAGCGCTGTAGGTGGGCTGTGGCTGTGGGCGGGGACATGGGTGGGGCCAACTATAGTCAGAGCAGGTCTATAGGTGGCTGTGGCTGTGGGTGGGGCCATGGGCGGGGCCGCCTAGGCAGAGTGGCGCTATGGGTTGACCTTGGACGTGGTTAGGGCCTAGTAGAGCATATTCCTGATCAGGGCGTGGTCACAGCAGGGCGGTGTCTTAGGTGTTCCTGGGGCTAGCGGACTTCTCCACATGCTCAGTGGGCACCTTCAGGGGTCGCCCTGCTGCACCACCATGGAGCGCTTGTCCTCCAGCTTTGGCTCTGGCCGCTGCATCCTTAGGTCACGGGCCATGTAATCAGCCTTCCCTTTGGCCCTGGGCTGGACCCGCAGCCTCCCTCTGCCTCCCAGGCTCAGACACTCAACTGGAGGGAGAAAGGACATGCACCCCCACCCCTGCTAGGCCCACATGCCCCCAGCTGCAGGGAGTGTGGGGAGGGTGGGTTCTAGGATGGCCATGTTGCAGCCAAGGACGCTGAGGGGCGGGGTGACAGGTCCACACAGCCACGGCGGACAGGTGTCTCTGGAGCCTCTCCCAGAGGTTAGCCCTGCTGGGGCCCCAGGTGATGTGCCCTGTCCCAGGAGCAGGGGCAGCCTCAGTGTCCTGAGCTCTAGGGCACCTGTGAATTCCTGGCACCATGAAGGCAGCACGGGCCCAGGGCACACCAGGGTCTTTTCCGCAGGTGGACCCCACACCCTTCTACGAGGCCTGCGTGCATGACTCATGCTCCTGTGACACGGGTGGGGACTGTGAGTGCTTCTGCTCTGCTGTGGCCTCCTATGCCCAGGAGTGTACCAAAGCAGAGGCCTGCGTGTTCTGGAGGACGCCGGACCTGTGCCGTAAGAGCCCCCCAAACTGGATCTGGGGCCAGCAGGGGGGCTGGGAGGGCTGTCCTGTGGGCTGGGGTGGCACTCTTTGCCCATCCAGGCAATAGGTGTGCATCGCCACCCTTTCCCCAACCTCCCTGGAGTCCTTTTTTGGGGCCCCATAGACCTGGGATGGCAGAGCAGGGTTGATGTGTCCTTGCCCCAGCCCCCCACCCCAGATTCGCCTCATCCTGGCCCATGCCTGAGCCCCCAGCCCCGGCGTCTGACCCCGGCCCCACCTCCCTCCAGCCGTATTCTGTGACTACTACAACCCTCCGCATGAGTGTGAGTGGCACTATGAGCCGTGTGGGAACCGGAGCTTCGAGACCTGCAGGACCATCAATGGCATTCACTCCAACATCTCCGTGTCCTACCTGGAGGGTGAGCAGGGCGGGCCTGGGGCGGGAGATGACAGCGGATGAGCCTGGAGGGTGAGCAGGGTGGGCCTGGGGCGGGAGATGACAGCAGATGAGCCTGGAGGGTGAGCAGGGCGGGCCTGGGGCGGGAGATGACAGCAGATGAGCCTGGAGTGTGAGTGGGGCAGGCCTGGAGGGGTGATGGCAGATGAGCCTGGAGGGTGAGCAGGGTGGGCCTGGGGCAGGAGATGACGGCAGATGAGCCTGGAGGGTGAGCAGGGTGGGCCTGGGGCAGGAGATGACGGCAGATGAGCCTGGAGGGTGAGCAGGGCGGGCCTGGGGCGGGAGATGACGGCAGATGAGCCTGGAGTGTGAGTGGGGCAGGCCTGGAGGGGTGATGGCAGATGAGCCTGGAGGGTGAGCAGGGCGGGCCTGGGGCAGGAGATGACGGCAGATGAGCCTGGAGTGTGAGTGGGGCAGGCCTGGAGGGGTGATGGCAGATGAGCCTGGAGTGTGAGTGGGGCAGGCCTGGAGGGGTGATGGCAGATGAGCCTGGAGTGTGAGTGGGGCAGGCCTGGAGGGGTGATGGCAGATGAGCCTGGAGGGTGAGTGGGGCAGGCCTGGAGGGGTGATGGCAGATGAGCCTGGAGTGTGAGTGGGGCAGGCCTGGAGGGGTGATGGCAGATGAGCCTGGAGGGTGAGTGGGGCAGGCCTGGAGGGGTGATGGCAGATGAGCCTGGAGTGTGAGTGGGGCAGGCCTGGAGGGGTGATGGCAGACAGGCCTGGCCATGTGGGGTTGAAGGCTGATGTTACCTGCAGACCCATGGGGCCATGCGGAGGGAGGCATGACCCTCAGGGCACCTTCAGCCCAGGGAGGCCAGGCTCCCCTTGCTGCAGGATCAGGAGGGAAACAGGCTGGCCCAGAAATCAGAAGTGGCATGGTGGGAGGTCCTAAGGTCGGTGCAGAGCAGGGCAGGTTGGGGAACATTTCAGGCACAGGTCCGCAGAGGCCCCGGTGGGTGCTGGCATCTGAGCTGAGAACCAGTGATGTGAAGGAGGGTGTGGTGGGAAATTTGGGAAGGAGAGTTCCGCCATGGGAGAGGAATGTGGGTCTTGGGACTCAGGGGTGCTCTTGAGACTTGGCAGGGACCCTCAGCGGGCAGTGTTCGGGCACAGTGCAGGGGGAGATCTAGGTCTTGCCTTTCTAATTCCTGGGCTTCCCAGAGGGGCATCCTCCAGAGAAGGGCCTGCCAGGGTGGGGATGGTGGGTGGGGTGTGGTAGACTGCGGTGGTCCCAACTCCATGCCCTGTGCCCACCAGGCTGCTACCCCCGGTGCCCCAAGGACAGGCCCATCTATGACGAGGACCTGAAGAAGTGTGTCAGTGCAGACAAGTGTGGCTGCTACATTGAGGACACCCACTACCCACCTGGAGCGTCGGTTCCCACAGAGGAGATCTGCAAGTCCTGGTACCTAAGCCACATGGCAGGGGGTCTGGGGAGCTGCACATATGGGGACATGGGCACACACACACATGTGAGCACACAATGCATGAACACACAACCATTCCACATGGGCGCACATGCACACAAATGCGCACACATACCATGTGCACACATAGTCACACACACGCCCACAGTCACACATGCATGGATGCTGACACGCAGGCACAGTCACACATGCACACTCACAGTCACAGTTACACATGCACGCACAGTCACACACACGCCCAATTCACACATGCATAGATGCTGACACACAGGCACAGTCACACAGTTACACATGCACACACTCAGTCATATATACACACAGTCATACATACACAGTCACAGTCACACCATACACACACACTCAGTCACACAGTCACACATGCACACACTCACAGTCACAGTTACACATGCACACACAGTCACACACACACACCCAATTCACACATGCATAGATGCTGACATGCAGGCACACACAGTCACACATGCACACACTCACAGTCACAGTCACACATGTACACACTCAGTCACAGTCACACACACACCCAATTCACACATGCATAGATGACACAGGCACAGTCACACAGTCACACACACACACACTCTCACAGTCACACATGCACACACTCACAGTTACACATGCACGCACAGTCACACACACCGACAGCCACACATGCATGGATGCTGACACACAGGCACAGTCACACATGCACACACTCTCAGTCACATGCACACACAGTCACAGTTACACATGCACGCACAGTCACACACACACCCACAGTCACACATGCATGCACAGTCACACACACACCCACAGTCACACATGCATGGATGCTGACACGCAGGCACAGTCACACAGTCACACATGCACATACACAGTTACAGATGCATGCACAGTCACACACACACCCAATTCACACATGCATAGATGCTGACACACAGGCACAGTCAGTCACACACGCACACACACTCACAGTCACACACGCACACAGTCATACATACACACTCAGTCACAGTCACACCATACACAGTCACACATGCACACACTCACAGTCACAGTTACACATGCACACACAGTCACACACACACCCAATTCACACATGCATAGATGCTGACACGCAGGCACAGTCACAGTTACACATGCACACACAGTCACAGTTACACATGCACGCACAGTCACAGTTACACATGCACACACAGTCACACACACACCCAAAGTCACACATGCATGGATGCTGACACGCAGGCACAGTCACACAGTCACACATGCACATACTCACAGTCACAGTTATAGATGCATGCAGTCATACACACACCCAATTCACACATGCATAGATGCTGACACACAGGCACAGTCACATAGTCACACACGCACACACACTCAGTCACACATGCACACAGTCATACATACACACTCAGTCACAGTCACACCATACACAGTCACACAGTCACACATGCACACACTCAGTCACAGTTACAGATGCAAACACAGTCACACACACCCAATTCACACATGCATAGATGCTGACACGCAGGCACAGTCACAGAGTTACACATGCACACACACAGTCACACAGGCACACAGATGCACACTCTCACAGTCACACAGTCATACATACACACTCAGTCACAGTCACACCATACACAGTCACACAGTCACACATGCACACACAGAGTCACACGTGCACACAATTACACATGCAGACACACAGCCACACGGTCACACACTCACAGTCACACCATACACACAGTCACACCATGCATACAGTCTCAGTCACACATGAACACATGCACAGATAACTGCCACGCAGGCACACACAGTCACAGTCACACCATACACACAGTCACACATGCACACACGCTCACAGTCACACATGCACACAGTCACACATGCACACACGCACAAATACGGACATGCAGGCACAGTCACAGTCATACAGTGCACCACATGCACACACAGTCACACGTGTACCCATGCCTAGACACAGATACCCAGGAAGGCACTCACACAGTCACACACCCACAGTCACACAGTCACACACTTCAGTCACACAGTCACACATAGTCACACGTGTACACACACTTCAGTTACACAGTCACACATGCACACAGTCACACCATGCATACACTCTCAGTCACACATGAACACATGCACAGATAACTGCCATGCAGGCACACACAGTCACAGTCACACCATACACACAGTCACACAGTCACACATGCACACATTTCAGTCACAAAGTCACAGTCACATGTGTACACAGACACACTTCAGTTACAGTCACACATGTACACATGCCTAGCCACAGATACCCAGGCACGTACTCACAGTCACACACTCACACACCCACAGTCACACAGTCACACATGCACACAGTCACACGTGTACACAGTCACACATGTACACATGCCTAGACACAGATACCCAGGCACACACTCAGTCACACAGTCACACAGTCACAGTCACACATGCACACACTTCAGTCACGCACACAGTCACACGTGTACACAGTCACACATGTACACATGCCTAGACACAGATACCCAGGCACACACCCAGTCACACAGTCACACAGTCACAGTCACACATGCACACACTTCAGTCACGCACACAGTCACACGTGTACACACACAGTCACACATGCACACATAGTCACATGTGTACACAGTCACACAGTCACACATGCACATAGTCACACATGTCCACATGCCTAGACATAGATACCCAGGCACACAGTCACACACGCACACGTGCACACAGTCACACATGCATGGACACAGAAACACAGTCACACACAGGCACACAGCCATGCAGGCACACGGGAGCCAGGCCACGGAGGCACCAGTCCCTGCCTCACTGGGGTGGGGTCTTCTGTTCTCATCCCATCCTCTGGGTCTGGCTTTTCCTTCCTCTCCTTGTCCCTGCTCTGTTCCCACAGTTAGGACCCAATGGGGGGCTCTTCTGGAGCTGGCTTTTGGGGCAGTACCCAGGGGCTTTGGGCTCGGCACTGGCTGGCTGCATGGGGGTACCAGAGGTCTGAGCAGGGCTGGCACAGCAGGGGGATGCCGGTCGTGGGGGGACGTGAGGGGGAAGCCGGGGGCTGAGCGGGGCAGGCATGGCGTCGGGGGGTGAACCTGCAGCTGTCTGCTTGATTTGCAGTGTGTGCACCAACTCCTCCCAAGTTGTCTGCAGGCCGGAGGAAGGTGAGCTGCCCTTCGCCCCAGCCCTGTGCTGGTTGGGCCCATCCCTGGGAAGCCTGTGGAGCTTGGATGGGTGGGGGGTGCTGGTCTCCTCCCGGGTTCTCCCCCTTGGGTCCCCCCCACTGGCTCGGACCCAGCTCTGATGTGCATCGGCCCCGTGGGGCTCCCGTAACACATTTGTCTCTTCTTCTGGGGTGCTGGTGCCCTGTGGGGAATCTCTGTCACCCTCTCCCATGATCCAGCTTCTGTGTTCTGATGGGATTCCCTTTATTCAGAGAGTGGCTCCGGGGCAAAGGCAGTCCCACTGGAGCGTTTGCCTCCCACATGTGGAGCTTGGGCACACCCACCTTCCCCGACCCTGCTCCCAGTGAGGTGACCCTTGGCCTCACCCTCACCCCCAGGAAAGATTCTCAATGAGACCCAGGATGGCGCCTTCTGCTACTGGGAGATCTGTGGCCCCAATGGGACAGTGGAGAAGCACTTCAATATCTGTGTGTCCACTACACCACGCCCGTCCACGCTGACCACCTTCACCACGGTCACCCTCCCCACCACCCCCACCACCTTCACCACCACCAGCACCACCCAGACCCCCAGCACAGGTGAGGCCCCCTGGTGCCCCTGTGCTTCCTCAGGCTTTCACCTTACCCTGCATCCAGCCTCCGGCACAGAGGGCACTTTCAGGGGCAGGCTCTGCCCTGTGCACAGCAGCTGCAGAGTAAGGTGACAGTCACATTCCTGTGCACTGGGCAGGATGGGGATGGGGGGCAGAGGCCGTGCCCTGGCTCCCCTCACCTGGTGAGTTGAGATGGTGGCATCCTGACCACATCCCCAAACCCAGGTCACGATGGAGGATGACTTGAGGAGATTTCTGAAAACCAGCAGGAAAACATCCCCGAGGGTTAGAGAAATCAGAGAAACTTCCTGATATGCCCCTGCATTTGTTCTGGCTGAGATCCTAGGTCCTACCCAAAAGCCAACAGGGGTACGACAGCCACAGAGAAAAGAAGCTTTAAAAATTAAGACAAGATTCCCAAAGCTCTCGAACTATATAAAGACGTTCTCTTTTCTTCCTGTTTTATTGCAGTGTCCCCGGCAACTCCGGGTAAGTGATGGTGACGATACTCATGGTGAACACAGGCTGGGAGGAGCAGTTTGCAAAGTCACCTGCAGGGCGCCTCCTTCAGGCCCAGATGTGAGGCCGGCGGGGCTGCCCTCCTCTGCTTACGGACCCAAGATGGGTGTATTTCGGGGACTTGGTTCATGGTTTGCTGAGACCAGGGACTCAAGCGGGACCTGAGTGGCTGTGGGTGACAATATTGCTGGTTAACCACTCTTAAGAGTGGAGACAAAGCTCTTTCAGGCACACTTCCTTACTGGAATGGGTGGTTCTCTTGCTATTCATTCCTTGAAAAAAGTATCCAAAATAGGTGAGGAAAGGGTCCATCACACCAGGTGTGGCCCTGGTGGCCCCGTCTCTCTGGGCACAGGTTTTCAGCTGCAAAATGAGGATGGAAGTGGTGTCCAGCCCTGAGCTCTCTGGTCCTGCACTCAGGTTTTTGGCAATGACAGGGAAAAGAGAGGTTGCATCTGGGGGACGGGCATGGAGGTCCCCGGGTCCTCTGAATCCGGGTGGCCTCCTGGAGGTGCCTTCCCTAGGAGTGAGTCACCAGAGCTGGGTTTTGCTTCCCTAGAGCCGTGCTGCTCCTGGTCTGAGTGGATCAATGAGAACCACCCCAGCAGCGGCAGCGATGGCGGTGACCGAGAGACGTTTGATGGGGTCTGCAGCGCCCCTGAGGACATCGAGTGCAGGTCTGTCAATGAGCCACACCTCAGCTTGGAGGAGCTGGGCCAGAAGGTGCAGTGCGACCTCTCCGTTGGGTTCATTTGCAAGAATGAAGACCAGTTTGGAAATGGACCATTTGGACTGTGTTACGACTACAAGATACGTGTCAATTGTTGCAAGCCCATACCTGGCTGCATCACCTCTCCACCAACCGCCACTCCACCAACCACCACGGCCACTGCTCCACCAACCGCCACTCCACCAACCACCACGACGACTGCTCCACCAACCACCACTCCACCAACCACCACGACGACTGCTCCACCAACCGCCACTCCACCAACCACCACGACCACTGCTCCACCAACCGCCACTCCACCAACCACCACGGCCACTGCTCCACCAACCGCCACTCCACCAACCACCACGACCACTGCTTCACCAACCACCACTCCACCAACCACCACGACCACTGCTCCACCAACCACCACTCCACCAACCACCACGACGACTGCTCCACCAACCGCCACTCCACCAACCACCAGGACGACTGCTCCACCAACCGCCACTCCACCAACCACCACTCCACCAACCACCACGACGACTGCTCCACCAACTGCCACTCCACCAACCACCACGACGACTGCTCCACCAACCACCACTCCACCAACCACCACGACGACTGCTCCACCAACCACCACTCCACCAACCACCACGACCACTGCTCCACCAACCACCACTCCACCAACCACCACGACCACTGCTCCACCAACCTCCACTCCAACCACCACGACGACTGCTCCACCAACCGCCACTCCAACCACCACGACGACTGCTCCACCAACCGCCACTCCACCAACCACCAGGACGACTGCTCCACCAACCACCACGACTGCTCCACCAACCGCCACTCCACCAACCACGACGACCACTGCTCCACCAACCGCCACTCCACCAACCGCCACGACCACTGCTCCACCAACCGCCACTCCACCAACCACCACGACCACTGCTCCACCAACCGCCACTCCACCAACCACCACTCCACCAACCACCACTCCACCAACTGCCACTCCACCAACCGCCACTCCACCAACCACCACGACCACTGCTCCACCAACCGCCACTCCACCAACCACCACTCCACCAACCGCCACTCCACCAACCACCACGACCACTGCTCCACCAACCGCCACTCCACTAACCACCACTCCACCAACCACCACTCCACCAACCACCACTCCACCAACCGCCACTCCACCAACCATCACTCCCAGCCCTCCAACCCCCAGCCCTCCACCAACCACCACAACCAACCCTCCTAGCCCCCCATCAACCACCATAACCACCACTCCCAGCCCTCCAACAATGACCATGACCACCACGCCACCAACTACCACTCCTAGCTCTCCATCAACCACCACAACCACCCCACCACCAACCACCACAACCATCACTCCCAGCCCTCCATCAACCACAACCACCACTCACAGCCCTCCAACCCCCAGCCCTCCATCAACCACCATGACCACTGCTCCACCAACCACCACTCCCAGCCCTTCAACCCCTAGCCCTCCATCAACCACCACAACCACCCCACCACCAACCACCACAACCATCACTCCCAGCCCTCCATCAACCACAACCACCACTCACAGCCCTCCAACCCCCAGCCCTCCATCAACCACCATGACCACTGCTCCACCAACCACCACTCCCAGCCCTCCACCTGTACCACCGTCAACAACCCCGTGTGTGCCTGTCTGCCATTGGACTGGCTGGCTGGATTCGGGAAAACCTAACTTTACCATACAAGGTGGGGATAAGGAATTGATTGGAGACACCTGTGGAGGAGGCTGGGCAGCTAACATCTCCTGCAGAGCCACCATGTATCCTGATGTTCCCATTGGACAGCTTGGACAAACAGTGCTGTGTAATGTCTCTGTGGGACTGGTGTGCAAAAATGAAGACCAAAAGCCAGGTGGGAACATCCCTATGCCCTTCTGCCTCAACTACGAGATCAACATTCAGTGCTGTGAGTGTGGCCCCACTAGCCCTCCACCAACCAGCACTCCCAGCACTCCATCAAACACCATGACCACCGCTCCACCAACCACCACGACCACCACTCCTACCCCTCCATCCACCACCACAGCCACCACTCCACCGACGACCACTTCCAGCTCTCCAACCCTCAGCCCTCCATCCACCACCACAACCACCACTCCACCAACCACCACTTCCAGCTCTCCAACCACCAGCCCTCCATCAACCACCACGACCACCACTCCTACCCCTCCATCCACCACCACAGTCACCACTCCACCAACCACCATGACCACCACTCCTACCCCTCCATCAACCACCACAGCCACCTCTCCACCAACCACCACTTCCAGTTCTCCAACCACCAGCCCTCCATCATCCACCACAACCACCACTCCAATAACCACAACCAACACCACCACTCTTAGTCCTCCAACCCCTACCCCTCCATCCACCACCACAGTCACCACTCCACCAACCACCATGACCACCACTCCTACCCCTCCATCAACCACCACAGCCACCGCTCCACCAACCACCACTTCCAGCTCTCAAACCACCAGCCCTCCATCCACCACCACAACCACCACTCCAATAACCACAACCACCACCACCACTCTTAGTCCTCCAACCCCTAGCCCTCCATCCACCACCACAGCCACCGCTCCACCAACCACCACGACCACCACTCCTACCCCTCCATCCACCACCACAACCACCACTCCACCAACCACCACTTCCAGCTCTCCAACGCCCAGCCCTCCATCAACCACCACAGCCACCACTCCACCAACCACCACTTCCAGCTCTCCAACCCCCAGCCCTCCATCCACCACCACAGCCACCACTCCACCAACCACCACTTCCAGCTCTCCAACCACCAGCCCTCCATCCACCACCACAACCAACACTCCACCAACCACCACTTCCAGCTCTCCAACCACCAGCCCTCCATCCACCACCACAACCACCACTCCACCAACCACCACTTCCAGCTCTCCAACCACCAGCCCTCCATCATCCACCACAACCACCACTCCACTAACCACAACCACCACCACCACTCTTAGTCCTCCAACCCCTAGCCCTCCATCAACCACCACAGCCACCACTCCACCAACCACCACTTCCAGCTCTCCAACCACCAGCCCTCCATCCACCACCACAACCAACACTCCACCAACCACCACTTCCAGCTCTCCAACCACCAGCCCTCCATCCACCACCACAACCACCACTCCACCAACCACCACTTCCAGCTCTCCAACCACCAGCCCTCCATCATCCACCACAACCACCACTCCACTAACCACAACCACCACCACCACTCTTAGTCCTCCAACCCCTAGCCCTCCATCAACCACCACAGCCACCACTCCACCAACGACCACTTCCAGCTCTCCAACCACCAGCCCTCCATCATCCACCACAACCACCACTCCACCAACCACCACTTCCAGCTCTCCAACCCCCAGCCCTCCATCCACCACCACAGCCACCACTCCACCAACCACCACTTCCAGCTCTCCAACCACCAGCCCTCCATCAACCACCACAGCCACCACTCCACCAACCACCACTTCCAGCTCTCCAACCACCAGCCCTCCATCCACCACAGCCACCACTCCACCAACCACCACTTCCAGCTCTCCAACCACCAGCCCTCCATCATCCACCACAACCACCACTCCACCAACCACCACTTCCAGCTCTCCAACCCCCAGCCCTCCATCTACCACCACAGCCACCACTCCACCAACGACCACTTCCAGCTCTCCAACCACCAGCCCTCCATCATCCACCACAACCACCACTCCACCAACCACCACTTCCAGCTCTCCAACCCCCAGCCCTCCATCCACCACCACAACCACCTCTCCACCAACCACCACTTCCAGCTCTCCAACCACCAGCCCTCCATCCACCACAACCACCACTCCACCAACCACCACTTCCAGCTCTCCAACCACCAGCCCTCCATCCACCACCACAGCCACCACTCCACCAACCACCAGTTCCAGCTCTCCAACCACCAGCCCTCCATCCACCACAACCACCACTCCACCAACCACTACTTCCAGCTTTCCAACCCCCAGCCATCCATCAACCCCCACAGCCACCACTCCACCAACCACCACTTCCAGCTCTCCAACCACCAGCCCTCCATCCACCACAACCAACACTCCACCAACCACCACTTCCAGCTCTCCAACCCCCAGCCCTCCATCCACCACCACAACCACCACTCCACTAACCACCACTTCCAGCTCTCCAACCACCAGCCCTCCATCAACCACCACAGCCACCACTCCACCAACCACCACTTCCAGCTCTCCAACCACCAGCCCTCCATCATCCACCACAACCACCACTCCACTAACCACAACCACCACCACCACTCTTAGTCCTCCAACCCCTAGCCCTCCATCAACCACCACAGCCACCACTCCACCAACCACCACTTCCAGCTCTCCAACCCCCAGCCCTCCATCCACCACCACAGCCACCACTCCACCAACCACCACTTCCAGCTCTCCAACCACCAGCCCTCCATCCACCACAACCACCACTCCACAAACCACCACTTCCAGCTCTCCGACCACCAGCCCTCCATCCACCACCACAGCCACCACTCCACCAACCACCACTTCCAGCTCTCCGACCACCAGCCCTCCATCCACCACAACCACCACTCCACCAACCACCACTTCCAGCTCTCCAACCCCCAGCCCTCCATCAACCACCACAGCCACCACTCCACCAACCACCACTTCCAGCTCTCCGACCCCCAGCCCTCCATCCACCACCACAACCACCACTCCACCAACCACCACTTCCAGCTCTCCAACCACCAGCCCTCCATCCACCACCACAGCCACCACTCCACCAACCACCACTTCCAGCTCTCCAACCACCAGCCCTCCATCATCCACCACAACCACCACTCCACCAACCACCACTACCAGCTCTCCAACCCCCAGCCCTCCATCCACCACCACAGCCACCACTCCACCAACCACCACTTCCAGCTCTCCAACCACCAGCCCTCCATCATCCACCACAACCACCACTCCACCAACCACCACTTCCAGCTCTCCAACCCCCAGCCCTCCATCCACCACCACAGCCACCACTCCACCAACCACCACTTCCAGCTCTCCAACCACCAGCCCTCCATCAACCACCACAGCCACCACTCCACCAACCACCACTTCCAGCTCTCCAACCACCAGCCCTCCATCCACCACCACAGCCACCACTCCACCAACCACCACTTCCAGCTCTCCAACCCCCAGCCCTCCATCCACCACCACAACCACCACTCCACCAACGACCACTTCCAGCTCTCCAACCACCAGCCCTCCATCCACCACCACAACCACCACTCCACCAACCACCACTTCCAGCTCTCCAACCACCAGCCCTCCATCATCCACCACAACCACCACTCCAATAACCACAACCACCACCACCACTCTTAGTCCTCCAACCCCTAGCCCTCCATCAACCACCACAGCCACCACTCCACCAACCACCACTTCCAGCTCTCCAACCACCAGCCCTCCATCAACCACCACAGCCACCACTCCACCAACCACAACCACCACCACCACTCTTAGTCCTCCAACCCCCAGCCCTCCATCCACCACCACAGCCACCACTCCACCAACCACCACTTCCAGCTCTCCAACCCCCAGCCCTCCATCCACCACCACAGCCACCACTCCACCAACCACCACTTCCAGCTCTCCAACCCCCAGCCCTCCATCCACCACCACAGCCACCACTCCACCAACCACCACTTCCAGCTCTCCAACCACCAGCCCTCCATCATCCACCACAACCACCACTCCACCAACCACCACTACCAGCTCTCCAACCCCCAGCCCTCCATCCACCACCACAGCCACCACTCCACCAACCACCACTTCCAGCTCTCCAACCACCAGCCCTCCATCATCCACCACAACCACCACTCCACCAACCACCACTTCCAGCTCTCCAACCCCCAGCCCTCCATCTACCACCACAGCCACCACTCCATCAACGACCACTTCCAGCTCTCCAACCACCAGCCCTCCATCATCCACCACAACCACCACTCCACCAACCACCACTTCCAGCTCTCCAACCCCCAGCCCTCCATCCACCACCACAACCACCTCTCCACCAACCACCACTTCCAGCTCTCCAACCACCAGCCCTCCATCCACCACAACCACCACTCCACCAACCACCACTTCCAGCTCTCCAACCACCAGCCCTCCATCCACCACCACAGCCACCACTCCACCAACCACCACTTCCAGCTCTCCAACCACCAGCCCTCCATCCACCACAACCACCACTCCACCAACCACCACTTCCAGCTTTCCAACCCCCAGCCATCCATCAACCACCACAGCCACCACTCCACCAACCACCACTTCCAGCTCACCAACCACCAGCCCTCCATCCACCACAACCAACACTCCACCAACCACCACTTCCAGCTCTCCAACCACCAGCCCTCCATCAACCACCACAGCCACGACTCCACCAACCACCACTTCCAGCTCTCCAACCACCAGCCCTCCATCCACCACCACAGCCACCACTCCACCAACCACCAGTTCCAGCTCTCCAACCACCAGCCCTCCATCCACCACAACCACCACTCCACCAACCACCACTTCCAGCTTTCCAACCCCCAGCCATCCATCAACCACCACAGCCACCACTCCACCAACCACCACTTCCAGCTCACCAACCACCAGCCCTCCATCCACCACAACCAGCACTCCACCAACCACCACTTCCAGCTCTCCAACCACCAGCCCTCCATCAACCACCACAGCCACCACTCCACCAACCACCACTTCCAGCTCTCCAACCACCAGCCCTCCATCCACCACCACAGCCACCACTCCACCAACCACCAGTTCCAGCTCTCCAACCACCAGCCCTCCATCCACCACAACCACCACTCCACCAACCACCACTTCCAGCTTTCCAACCCCCAGCCATCCATCAACCACCACAGCCACCACTCCACCAACCACCACTTCCAGCTCTCCAACCACCAGCCCTCCATCCACCACAACCAACACTCCACCAACCACCACTTCCAGCTCTCCAACCACCAGCCCTCCATCATCCACCACAACCACCACTCCAATAACCACAACCACCACCACCACTCTTAGTCCTCCAACCCCTAGCCCTCCATCAACCACCACAGCCACCACTCCACCAACCACCACTTCCAGCTCTCCAACCACCAGCCCTCCATCAACCACCACAGCCACCACTCCACCAACCACAACCACCACCACCACTCTTAGTCCTCCAACCCCCAGCCCTCCATCCACCACCACAGCCACCACTCCACCAACCACCACTTCCAGCTCTCCAACCCCCAGCCCTCCATCCACCACCACAGCCACCACTCCACCAACCACCACTTCCGGCTCTCCAACCCCCAGCCCTCAATCCACCACCACAGCCACCACTCCACTAACCGCCACTTCCAGCTCTCCAAACACCAGCCCTCCATCCACCACCACAACCACCACTCCACCAACCACAACCACCACTGTTAGTCCTCCAACCCCCAGCCCTCCATCCACCACCACAGCCACCACTCCACCAACCACCACTTCCAGCTCTCCAACCACCAGCCCTCCATCATCCACCACAACCACCACTCCACTAACCACAACCACCACCACCACTCTTAGTCCTCCAACTCCTAGCCCTCCATCAACCACCATAGCCACCACTCCACCAACCACCACTTCCAGCTCTCCAACCCCCAGCCCTCCATCCACCACCACAGCCACCACTCCACCAACCACCACTTCCAGCTCTCCAACCACCAGCCCTCCATCATTCACCACAACCACCACTCCACCAACCACCACTTCCAGCTCTCCAACCCCCAGCCCTCCATCCACCACCACAGCCACCACTCCACCAACCACCACTTCCAGCTCTCCAACCCCCAGCCCTCCATCTACCACCACAGCCACCACTCCACCAACCACCACTTCCAGCTCTCCAACCCCCAGCCCTCCATCAACCACCACAGCCACCACTCCACCAACCACCACTTCCAGCTCTCCAACCACCAGCCCTCCATCATCCACCACAGCCACCACTCCACCAACCACCACTTCCAGCTCTCCAACCCCCAGCCCTCCATCCACCACCACAACCACCACTCCACCAACCACCACTTCCAGCTCTCCAACCCCCAGCCCTCCATCCACCACCACAGCCACCTCTCCACCAACCACCACTTCCAGCTCTCCAACCACCAGCCCTCCATCCACCACAGCCACCACTCCACCAACCACCACTTCCAGCTCTCCAACCACCAGCCCTCCATCCACCACAACCACCACTCCACCAACCACCACTTCCAGCTCTTCGACCACCAGCCCTCCATCTACCACCACAGCCACCACTCCACCAACCACCACTTCCAGCTCTCCCACCCCCAGCCCTCCATCCACCACAACCACCACTCCACTAACCACCACTTCCAGCTCTCCGACCCCCAGCCCTCCATCATCCACCACAACCACCTCTCCACCAACCACTTCCAGCTCTCCGACCACCAGCCCTCCATCAACCACCACAGCCACCACTCCACCAACCACCACTTCCAGCTCTCCCACCCCCAGCCCTCCATCCACCACCACAGCCACCACTCCACCAACCACCACTTCCAGCTCTCCAACCCCCAGCCCTCCATCCACCTCCACAGCCACCACTCCACCAACCACCACTTCCAGCTCTCCAACCACCAGCCCTCCATCCACCACCACAACCACCACTCCACCAACCACCACTTCCAGCTCTCCAACCACCAGCCCTCCATCATCCACCACAGCCACCACTCCACCAACCACCACTTCCAGCTCTCCAACCCCCAGCCCTCCATCCACCTCCACAGCCACCACTCCACCAACCACCACTTCCAGCTCTCCAACCACCAGCCCTCCATCCACCACCACAACCACCACTCCACCAACCACCACTTCCAGCTCTCCAACCACCAGCCCTCCATCCACCACCACAACCACCACTCCACCAACCACAACCACCACCACCACTCTTAGTCCTCCAACCCCTAGCCCTCCATCAACCACCACAGCCACCACTCCACTAACCACCACTCCCAGCCCTCCAACCACTACAGAGACCACAACTACAACACCCACCACCACCACGACAGTGACCCCAACCCCAACACCCCCCACTTTAAGCACAGAGCCCCCCACCCCCACAGCCACAACCCCCACTGCTCAGTCAACCACATTCAAACCCGCACCTGAGTCCTCAGCTCCTCAGACCTCTCGGTCCACCTCCTCCCCTCCCACGGAGTCAACCACCCTTCTGAGTACCCCACCTCCTGCCATGAAGACGACCAGCACGGCCCCACCCTCCACACCCACAACACCCACGGCCACCACGACGGGAGGTCGCACGCCGTCCCCACTGCCCGGCACCACCACGGCCCCTCCAGGTAAGTAGAGCTGCTGGGTTCCTCCTGCCTGCAGTGCTTCCTCCTCCTGTGTGCCATTTGGGACTGTCCCAGGAAGGCTCCGGACAGGCTCTGGGTGCCTCCCTGCTCACCAAGCCCAGTTACTGTGCGGGCAGGAGCTGCTGACATGAGCCAGCCAAAGCTGGTTCGCTCTCCCATGGGATGGCCTTCTTCAGGGCCCCACTGTGTGACGTGGCACTGTGGGAGCCCACCAAGCTGCAGGGGTGGAGACAGGCTGCCAGTGAGGGCCTGCAGGACCCCTGCTTCTGGCTGCATGCCCTCCTCAGGCCTCGGGGCCTCTCCCCAGCAGACGGCCTCCCACAACCAGTGCTGTCTGGACACCTCTTGCTGGCAGTCAGTGTGTCCAGCAAGCCGTGGTGCTGCTGGAGCGCCGGGTCATCTGAGGGCTCCCAAGACGCTCGGGCGTGGTGTCGCCAGCCCTGGCAGTCCACCTCCCCCGTGATTCCGAGGGCCTGGGAGGTGGGCGGGAGGCCCTGGCTCTCCGGTACTACCACCCACTCGGCCGTCAGTGTCCCTTGCAGCTGGGGAGTGGAGGTGGGGAGCCCACGGCAGTGTCTGTGATGCGCAGCACCTCAGCCCTCACTTGTGGCCCCCACTCTCACAGGCACCCCCACACGAGGCACCACAACTGGGTCATCTTCACCCACCACCCCCAGCACTGCACGGACAACCACCAGCGCCTGGACCCCCACGCCTACCCCAATCTCCACATCCAGCATTATCACGACCACAAGCCACATGACCCACACCATCATCACGTGCTGTGTCCTGAACGACACCTACTATTCAGCAGGTACTCGGGTTTCACACCCTGTGCTCAGGCGGCTGAGGCTGGTTTTGGCCCCGGCACGTACCGATGGGTCAGGCGCCAGGGCTGAGGTCACAGTGGGGCATCTCAGGAGGGTGGCTGTGTCCAGGGCCTGGCTTCCCTTGGGTGGCCTCTGTGGGAACCTGCTACACGGTCAGCGGACAGCCTGCCTCTGGATGCGTGAGCATGGGTCTGTCCCCTTGCAGGTGAGCAGGTGTACAACGGCACACTCGGGGACACCTGCTATTTCGTGAACTGCTCGCTGAGCTGCACCTTGGAGATCTATAATTGGTCCTGCCCATCCACGCCGTCCCCAACGCCCACGCCCTCCAAGCCGACACCCACGCCCTCCAAGCCCACGCCCACGCTCACGCCCTCCAAGCCCACTCCCAGCACCAAGCCCCCCGAGTGCCCAGACTTTGATCCACCCAGGCAGGTCAGTGGCTGCAGGCGGCTCTGTCCCCATGGTGCTGAGCACAGCAGGTCCGTGCACCTGAGGCCCCAGGCACCACTTCCTGCTGGTTGTTTGAGAGCCGAGGCCTCCTGTGGCCCCTTGGGTGCGGGGTCCACCCTCCACCTTCTTACCGTGCCTGGCGAGGTGGCTGGCTGCGGTGACACGTGTGGAAGCAACCTCGGCCTCCAGCCTCCTGGCTCAGTGCCTGCCCCTGCCAAGTGCAGACCCCTCTCCATCCTGTGCCCGTCCTGCTGACCATCCCTGACCTTCCGCCCCCAGGAGAATGAGACTTGGTGGCTGTGTGACTGCCTCATGGCCACCTGCAAGTACAACAACACCGTGGAGATCACGGAGGTGAAGTGCGAGCCGCCGCCCAGGCCCACCTGCTCCAACGGCCTCACCCCCGTGCGCGTCATGGATGACAATGGCTGCTGCTGGCACTGGGAGTGCGACTGTGAGTCCGGGACCCCCAGGCCCTCTCCCCATCTCCTGCCCTCCCCCATCCCCCCATCCCCCCATCCCCCCGTCCCCCCATTCCCCCATCCCCTGCCCTCCCCCATTCCCCCATCCCCTGCCCTCCCCCATCCCCCATTCCCCCATCCCCTGCCCTCCCCATCCCCCATTCCCCCATCCCCTGCCTTCCCCATCCCCCATTCCCCCATTCCCCCATCCCCTGCCTTCCCCATCCCCCATTCCCCCATTCCCCCATCCCCTGCCCTCCCCCATTCCCCCATCCCCTGCCCTCCCCATCCCCCATTCCCCCTTTCCCCCATCCCCTGCCCTCCCCCATCCCCCCAGCCCCCCATTCCCCCATCCCCTGCCCTCCCCCATCCCCTGCCCTCTGAGGCTGCATCTCCTCCCCTCCCCGAGTCTCCTGCCCTCTCTGTGGGTGGGGGCTGCGGGGCTGTCTCTGGGGGACAGAAGGGCTGAGGCTCCTTAGGGACAGACCCCATCGCTGTGTTCACTGAGGCCGGGTGCCATCTGAGGGGCTTCTCACAGTCCTGCTTTTGCCCCATTGTGAGGGGTGGGGGACCTGGGCAGGCAGAGGGCTTGCCTGGTGGAGTTAGGGCCCCTCCCTGGAACAAGGGTGCTTCTGAGGCAAGAGAGGGCTGAGCTGGGGTTTGAACCCCAGTCTGGCCGCTGTGGGTGCTCTGGGGCCACTGCAGCTCATACGTCCCCAGGCCCCCACCCAGGAGTGGGTGTTCAGGCCCCAGCTTCCTACAGCCTCTTCCTGACTGTGCCCCGGCCCAGCCCTTGCACCCGCCTCCGGCCGGGGGGCACAGGCAGCGTGCTCACTCGGGCTCCCTCACAGGCTACTGCACGGGCTGGGGGGACCCGCACTACACCACCTTCGACGGGCTGTACTACAGCTATCAGGGGAACTGCACCTACGTGCTGGTGGAGGAGATCAGCCCCACCGTGGACAACTTCGGGGTCTACATTGACAACTACCACTGTGACGTCAACGACAGGGTGTCCTGCCCCCGCACCCTCATCGTGCGCCACGAGACCCAGGAGGTGCTCATCAAGACCGTGCAGATGATGCCCATGCGGGTGCAGGTAGGCGCAGTGCGGCCGCGGGTGACTGGCACGGAGGCCCCAACGTGCCGCGGTTCCCCACGAGGCCAGAGGACTGCGCTTCGGGGTGCCAGGCACAGCCTCTCCCAGACCCAGGCTGGAGGGCGCGGCAAGGTGGGCGCCTGGCTCTTGAACACGGCAGCCCTTCCCACAATCCTCCAGGGACATCCTGGAGGGGCCCCCTGACCTCTGCCACCTCTGCCATGCTGGGCACAGTCTCTGCAGCAGATGCTGCCTCCCAAGGACAGAGTGGGGGACAGGGCTCTGCACACCCTTGGCTGAGATGCCCCTACTTGCAAGGGGATCGTTGGTTCTGAGGCTCAGGAGGCCCAGGGAGCCTGGCCCCCTGTGAGGGGCTCCACAATCCTGGGGGCTTCCCGGGAGAGCTCCTTCACTGGCTCCTCTGGGACTAGGGTCTGGTCAGGCACAGTGGAACAGAAGCAAGAAAGGGGATGGGAAAGGCGGGTAGGCAGGGCCCGCTCTCTGCAGGCGCCGGTTGGAGAGCAGGTGGGGAGGAGCAGCCCTGGAGCTCTCCCCAGGGGAGGCCGAGGCGGAGGGGGGGCAGCGGCCTCCGGGGCAGCTGCAGCACCCCCACCCTGTGTGTCGGCGGCAGGTGCAGGTGAACGGTCAGGTGGTGGCGCTGCCCTACAAGAAGTATGGGCTGGAGGTTTACCAGTCCGGCATCAACTACGTGGTGGCCGTCCCCGAGCTGGGCGCCCTCGTCTCCTACAATGGCCTGTCCTTCTCCATCAGGCTACCCTACCACAAATTCGGCAACAACACCAAGGGCCAGTGTGGTGAGTTCTGAGGCCCCCGAGCCCCCACGGCTCCCACGGTGCCCTGTGTCCACATGACCTGCCCCGGGGAGGGCAGCCTGGCGGGCCGAGGCTGAGGCTGCGTGTGAGCATGGCAGACCTGGCTGTGGGCCTCTTGCCCCTCTGCTCGGGGCCACTGTGGCCATCATCCCGGTTCAGGCCCTGCGAGGAGCCCATAGGAGCGGCCCGGCCTGGCCTGGCACTCCTGGGCATCTGGGCTGGAGAGGGCAGGGCTCACACTGTCCGCCCCGGTGGCCTCTCTCTCCGACAGGCACCTGCACCAACTCCACCTCTGATGACTGCATTCTGCCCAGTGGGGAGATCATCTCCAACTGCGAGGCCACGGCCGACCAGTGGGTGGTGAACGACCCCTCCAAGCCACACTGTCCCCACAGCATCTCCACCACCAAGCGCCCGGCCATCACGGTGCCCGGGGGCAGCAAGACGACCCCACGCAAGGACTGCACCCCATCTCCCCTCTGCCAGCTCATCAAGGACAGGTGACCCTGCCTGGCCTGCCTGCCTCTCTGAGCCCTGGCCCCCAGCTCTTGCAAAGAGGGAGGAGGCAGCACGTGAGGCCTGGTGTGGGGCTGGGGAGGCAGGAGGCCATGGAACCAGGGTCAGGCGCTAGGTCAATGCGGGGTCCAGGGCCTGGGTCCTTGGGTTCCACGGGGCTGAGCTGCCACGTCCCACGTGCCTGTGCCTTTATTGAGTTCCACGATTTCTCCCGCCTCCTGGGAAGGTGCAGGGCTGGCTGGGTGTGAGGCCCGGAGCAGACCAGTCAACCCAGGACAGAGCTCAGGGCTGACATTGGGGAGGCAGGTTTGCGCTTTGACCAAGCTGTGCTCCCAATGCTGACAGCCATGGGGAGTCAGCACCCCGTCCCTGGAAGTGTGGGTGCGGTGGACAGGCTGGGTGTCTGTCTGCCAGGGTTGCTGGAGCCAATGGCCATGCAGATGTGTGGCTTCTCTCCTGGGAACTCGGCTACAGGACCGCCTCACTTGCCTATCCCTTGTCCCCAGACTGTTCCCCGGCTGGGCTGTCCCTCCGGGTGCCTCTCTGGCGGGTGCTGGACTCCAGGAGGACGGTCTAGGCGGAGGTGTTAGGGTAGGGGGGGCGAGGCGGGCGCCGCCTGAGTGTGACCCTGCCCCTCCCTGTGCAGCCTGTTTGCCGAGTGCCATGCGCTGGTGCCGCCCCAGCACTACTACGAAGCCTGCGTGTTCGACAGCTGCTTCGTGCCCGGCTCGCGCCTGGAGTGCGCCAGTCTGCAGGCCTATGCAGCCCTCTGTGCCCAGGAGGGCGTCTGCCTCGACTGGCGGAACCACACGCACGGGGCCTGCCGTAAGTGCCCGTCTGCCCCTGCCCTGGAGCTGGGGGCCTGCAGGCCAGATGTGCCCACTAGGCTCTGCCGGGTGCTGTATCCAGCCTGAAGCTAGACACGAGTGGGCTGTGGCCAGGCTCCCTAGTGGGCTGTGGCCATGAGTGGGCTGTGGCCAGGCTCCCGAGTGGGCTGTGGCCATGAGTGGGCTGTGGCCAGGCTCCCAAGTGGGCTGTGGCCAGGCTCCCGAGTGGGCTGTGGCCAGGCTCCCAGAGATGGCGGGTGTGAGACCAGGGCCGGGGCCGTGGGGTGGAGAAGGCCAGGCTGGAGGTGCTGAGGTGCTGGGGGTTCTGCCAATGTCACTAGATGCAGTCGGGCACCCACCACCCCGCTCAGGGCAACCATGAGGGTGGAGGCTGACTCCCCAGGCGACTGGCCACCATCTGCCGTGTGTGGGGCGCTGGGCAGCTCTGTCACTCAGGGGGGTACAGGCTCCTCCCCTGACATGCGTGGGGCAGCCCTCTGACCCCGGCCCTGTCCCGCAGTGGTGGAGTGCCCATCTCACAGGGAGTACCAGGCCTGTGGCCCTGCGGAAGAGCCCACCTGCAAGTCCAGGTATGTTGCTTGAGGGTCTTCCAGGACTGTGGGCTCGCCACTGTAGTGCAGAGGGTGGCACCATCCGGGCAGAGCAGTCCTGCCTGTCTGCTCTCAGCCCCACCTGCACCCGTCCGACGGTGCCCTCCCCCCAGCTCCTCACCTGCACCCATCTGACAGTGCCTCCCCCACCTCCTCACCTGCACCTGTCTGACAGTGCCCTCCCCCCACCTCCTCACCTGTACCTGTCTGACAGTGCCCTCCCCCCAGCTCCTCACCTGCACCCGTATGACAGTGCCCTCACAGCTCCTCACCTGCACCTGTCTGACAGTGCCCTCCCCCCAGCTCCTCACCTGCACCCATCTGACAGTGCCCCCCCAGCTCCTCACCTGCACCCGTCTGACAGTGCCCTCCCCCCACCTCCTCACCTGCACCTGTCTGACAGTGCCCCCACAGCTCCTCACCTGCACCTGTCTGACAGTGCCCCCCCCAGCTCCTCACCTGCTCCCGTCCGACGGTGCCCTCCCCTCCCAGCTCCTCACCTGCACCCGTCTGACAGTGCCACCCCCAGCTCCTCACCTGCACCCGTCTGACAGTGCCCTCCCCCCAGCTCCTCACCTGCACCTGTCCGACGGTGCCCTCCCCCACCAGCTCCTCACCTGCACCTTCTGACAGTGCCCTCCCCCCACCTCCTCACCTGCACCTGTCTGACAGTGCCTCCCCAGCTCCTCACCTGCACCCGTCTGACAGTGCCCCCCCAGCTCCTCACCTGCACCCATCCGACGGTGCCCTCCCCTCCCAGCTCCTCACCTGCACCCGTCTGACAGTGCCCCCCCCAGCTCCTCACCTGCACCCGTCTGACAGTGCCCCCACAGCTCCTCACCTGCACCCATCCGACAGTGCCCTCCCCTCCCAGCTCCTCACCTGCACCCGTCTGACAGTGCCACCCCCAGCTCCTCACCTGCACCCGTCTGACAGTGCCACCCCCAGCTCCTCACCTGCACCTGTCTGACAGTGCCCTCCCCCCAGCTCCTCACCTGCACCTGTCTGACAGTGCCCCCCCAGCTCCTCACCTGCACCCGTCCGACGGTGCCCTCCCCCCCCAGCTCCTCCCAGCAGAACAACACGGTCCCAGTGGAAGGCTGCTTCTGTCCTGACGGCACCATGAACTATGCTCCTGGCTATGACGTCTGTGTGAAGACCTGCGGTAGGCCACTGCTCACACTGCCCCTCCTGCCTCCTCCTGGGTGTCCACAGAGGCTGCAACCAGGAGGCTGAGCCCCCAGCCCCACTCCTGCTGCACCAGGACCCTGCTAACAGGACTTGTTTCTTCCCTCTTCCTAGGCTGCGTGGGACCCGACAATGTGCCCAGAGAGGTAGGCCCCGCTTGGTGCTGAGGGATTCTCCCACAAATTCTGAATTCTGGGGAGTGAGGGGGATGGACATGAAAACCTGGAGCCTCAAAGATTGAGGAATGAGGTCATCTAAGTCCTGAGTTGACCTCATCTAAGGCTAAGTTGGCATCACCTGCTTACCCACCCATCCTTCCATCCACCCACCCATCTTTCCATCCACCCACCCATCCTTCCACCCACCCACCCATCCTTCCATCCACCCGCCCATCTTTCCATCCACCCGCCCATCCTTCCACCCACCTGCCCATCCTTCCACCCACCCACCCATCCTTCCATCCACCCACCCCATTCATCTACCCACCCATCCTTCCACCCACCCGCCCATCCTTCCACCCACCTGCCCATCCTTCCATCCACCCTCCCCATTCATCTACCCATCCATCCACCCGCCCACCCATCCATATACTCACTCATCCTTCCACCCACTCATCCATCCACCCACCCACCCATCCTTCCATCCCTCCCATCCATCCACCCATCCATTCTTACATCTGTCCTTTTATCCTTCCACCATCTGTCCATCCATCTATCCATCCTTTCATCAATCCACCCATCCACCTATACACCCCATCTATTCCACTCACCCATCCATCCACCCACCATCTACCCATCCACCCACTTACCCACCCATCCACCATCCACCCATCCATCTACCCACCCACCCACCTACCCATCCACGATCCACCTACCCACCCACCCACCCATCCACCATCCACCCATCCATCTACCCACCCACCCACCCATCCACTATCCACCCATCCATCTACCCACCCACCCACCCATCCACTATCCACCCATCCACCTACCCAGCCACCCACCCACCCATCCACCATCCACCCATCCATCTACCCACCCACCCATCCACCATCCACCCATCCATCTACCCAGCCACCCACCCACCCATCCACCATCCACCCATCCATCTACCCACCCACCCACCCATCCACTATCCACCCATCCATCTACCCACCCACCCACCCATCCACTGTCTACCCACCCACACATCCACCCACCCACTATCTACCCATTCATCCATCCATTCCCCCTCCCTCCATTCACCACCGTTGGTCATATGATGCTCTGTTTAGAAGCTCTGACATGACATCTCGGCCACCTCTGGGCTGCCTGTGCCTCCCACCTGTGGTCGCAGCCACCGGCTGATTCCTTAGCTAAATTCTGCACAAGCCTGAGGCCTGAGTGGAGTGTCTGCCCCGTGCCAAGCTCCTGTTTCCTGTCCTATACCAGAACCTGACCGGTGTGCTCAGAAATGAGGAGGGACATGGGTTTCCCCCAGGATCCCTCAGCGAGCTGCCCAGGGCAGCTGTTTCTACCTGCTGACTACAGATGCAGCTCTGGGCCTGCCGGCGCCTCCTCTTCTCTCCTCACCCCCCTTCCTCCTCCCTGCAGTTTGGGGAGCACTTTGAGTTCGACTGCAAGGACTGTGTCTGCCTGGAGGGTGGAAGTGGCATCATCTGCCAGCCCAAGAGGTGCAGCCAGAAGCCTGTTACCCACTGTGTGGAGGATGGCACCTACCTGGTCACGGAGGTCAACCCTGATGACACCTGCTGTAACATCAGCATCTGCAGTAAGTCCATGCCTTGGCCCCAGTGCACATCCCCGTAGGTGGGGCTACATGCTGTCCCCTCCTTGGCCAGTGAGGAGACAACCGATGTTGGAGCCTCCGATGTTCCCCTTGAGAGGGCTTGGGAGGGGCTGCTGGGCCGAGTCCAGGCATCCCTGCTGCAGGGCCTGGGTGGGGAGGGGCCCCGTGGAGGTGCAGCGGCCCCGGGGCTTTGCCTTCGAGGAGCCACCCTCACGGGGCGTGCCCGCCCTGTCTTCAGAGTGCAACACCAGCCTGTGCAAAGAGGAGCCCCCCCTGTGCCCACTGGGATTTGAACTGAGGAGCAAGATGGTGCCGGGGAGGTGCTGTCCCTTCTACTGGTGTGGTAAGCAGGGCTGCTGGGTGGGCAGGAAGGAGGCCACGGCCGGGATGGGTGTGTGTGGGGAAGGACTCCCTCCTGGGGCTCAGATCCTGGGGACACAGATGGCTGCACGATTGGCTGATGCACCACCCCAGCCCTGAACGCACGCCCCATTCCCCGGGGGGAGGGCACCAGGAATGGGGGTCCGGCCAGATGGCCACCCCAGGACAGTCGCTAACCAATGGCCTTCTCCGTTCTTTCTCCCAAGAGTCCAAGGGGGTGTGTGTTCACGAGAATGCTGAGTATCAGGTGAGCCCTGGGCTGAGTGGGGGTGAGGGGGGAGGAGGTTGGGCTGTGGTGTGGGGGTCCTGGCAGGTTCTCGGCCAGCTGGGGTGGCCTCCGCCTCACATCTCTCACTGTCCCCAAAGCCCGGTTCTCCAGTGTATTCCTCAAAGTGCCAGGACTGCGTCTGCACCCACAAAGTGGACAACAGCACCCTGCTCAACACCATTGCCTGCACCCACGTGCCCTGCAACAACTCCTGCAGCCCCGTAAGTGGCCGCCCAACCCCAGCTCCTGCCCTGGCCCTGGCTCCCACCCCAGCCTGAGCCCTGGCTCCCACCCCAGCCCGGCTTCCACCCCAACCCCAGCTCCTGCCCTGGCCCTGGCTCCCACCCCAGCCTGAGCCCTGGCTCCCACCCCAGCCCGGCTTCCACCCCAACCCCAGCTCCTGCCCTGGCCCTGGCTCCCACCCCAGCCCGAGCCCTGGCTCCCACCCCAGCCTGAGCCTTGGCTCCCACCCCAGCCTGAGCCCTGGCTCCCACCCCAGCCTGAGCCCTGGCTCCCACCCCAGCCCGGCTTCCGACCCAGCCCAGGCTCCCACCCCAGCCTGGCTTCCATCCCAAACCCGGCTTCCACCCCAACCCCAGCTCCTGTCCTGGCCCTGGCTCCCGCCCCAACCCTGGCTCCCACCCCGGCCCTGGCTCCTACCCCAGCCCCAGCCCGGCTTCCCCCCTAGGTCCTGCCCCTTCCCTCATACCAGACAAGCACTGCGGCCCATGTCTGCATGGTGGCACTTTTTTTTCTCCTTTCAATGCCCACCTGCCGCTGTCCCCACCTCTCCATGCTGACACCTGCCCAGTCTGGGGCCTCCTCCGAGTGGGGGTCTCAGTAGCTCCGCAGGTTCGTGTGGTGTGGGGCATGGCCCAGGGGCTCAGCTGCGGTGGTGTGTCTGTCCGCAGGGCTTCGAGCTGGTGGAGGCCCCCGGAGAGTGCTGTAAGAAGTGTGAGCAGACACACTGCATCATCAAGCGCCCCAACAACCAGCACATCATCCTGAAGGTGGGTGCCACTGCCCCGAGGCCGCCACGTTGTCTGAGCCCCAGGCAAAGCTGAGTCCTCCCAGTCCTGGGTGCAGCGGTGACGGGTGTCCGGGAGCTGCTGTGACACATGAGCAGGCATTGTAGGGCAGAAAGAGTTTCTCCTGGGTCTGGAGCCCAGAAGTCCAAGAGCAAAGGGCCTCAGGGCTGCACACCCTCGGAGGCTCTAGGCAAGGACCCTTCCCAGCCCCTGGTCACTGCTGCTGTCCCTTGGTTGTGGCCATGGGGCTCCATCTCCTGTCTGTGGCCATGTGGTCTCCTTCCCTGTGTCTGTTTCTCTTTTAAGGGTTTAGTACCCTCCCACCACCCCCCCGAATGCAGAAGATGTCATCCTAGGATCCTTCAAGGCCCTGCCCTCTCCCCTCCCCGACACAGGATGATGTTATCCTAGGATCCGTCAAGGCCCCGCCCCTTCCCCCCCCCCCCGCCTGCCACAGGATGACGTCATCCTAGGATTCTTCAAGGCCCCACCCCTCCCCCTCCCCCACACAGGATGCCATCATCCTAGGATCCTTCAAGGCCCCCTCCCCCTCCCCCACGCAGGATGACGTCATCCTAGGATCTTTCACTTAATCACATCTTCAAAGAGCTGTTTTCGAAGGCAGGTCACCTTCACAGGTTCAGAGAGTTGCAACAGGCCTTTGAGAGTTGTGTGGGCCCCAGGCTGGTGCCTGACGTGGGTCCCGCCCATGTCACTTGTCCTGTGGCCCTGGCTCCGCCGGGAAGCCTCACTGGCCAAGTGTATCCAGGGTGTCTTCCTGGGCATGCTGGGGCTGGGGCTGGGCCTGCTGCTCTCCCTCACGGGAACCCCCTGCCCCACAGCCTGGGGACTTTAAGAGCGACCCCAAGAACAACTGCACGTTCTTCAGCTGCGTGAAGATCCACAACCAGCTAATCTCGTCCGTCTCCAACATCACCTGCCCCGACTTCGACCCCGCCATTTGCGTCCCGGTGAGTGGGCCTCGGGCGCCTGGCTCTGTGCGCTCTGCCGGGAGTGAGGGTGCCTGGTGGTGCTGCGGCAGTGGCCTAGAGCCTGGTCTGTGCGGCCGAGAGGCTTTGCCCGGGGCTTTCTGCAGCAGTCCCCCTGCCCACGGCATGGCAGGAAGGGGCTTTCACCCCCAGGCATGTCTAGGGGTCCTAGGCTCACTCTCTGTTCCCTCCAGGGCTCCATCACATTCATGCCCAATGGATGCTGCAAGACTTGTGAGTACAGGGCATGGCCCAGGGGACAGGCATGGTGTGGGCACAGAGGCTGGAGCCCTCAGCCCTGCCTGCTCAGGGGTGGCTGGACCATGGCCTCTGGGTGGGCATGAGGCTGGGCCTGGGGAGGGGCTGCAGCGAGGGGGAGTCACTCTGGGCCTCAAGGATGTGGAGACCCTTCCCTGAGCCGCTGCCCTCTCTCCCCAGGCATCCCTCGAAATGAGACCAGGGTGCCCTGCTCCACCGTCCCCGTCACCAGGGAGATTTCACATGCCGGCTGCAGCAAGAGTGTCATCATGAATCACTGCTCCGGGTCCTGTGGGACATTCGTCATGTGAGTCCGCAGCTGGGAGTGTGTCTGGTGGGGCTGGTGGAGGCCCTAGAGGGGCAGGAGGCCAGCACTGCCCCTGGGAGGTCGCCCCTCACTCTGCCCTACCCCCAGGTACTCCGCTGAGGCGCAGGCCCTGGAGCACACGTGCTCCTGTTGCAAAGAGGAGAAGACCAGCCAGCGGGAGGTGGTCCTGAACTGCCCCCACGGGGGCTCGCTGACGCACACCTACACCCACATCGAAAGCTGCCAGTGCCAGGACACCGCCTGCGAGCTCCCCGCCAGCACCTCCCGCCGGGCCCGCCGCTCCATCAGGCGTTTGGGGAGCCCGTGAGCGGCGTGGGCACAGCCCGGCTCCGCCTTCCGCAGCTTTGCCTCCCCTGAGAGGCCTCCTAAGCAATAAATACCCTTGCTTCAGATATTCATTGTGTGAGTCTTTGTTCAGTCTTTGCTTTCCAATAAACTCAGCAGACTGCTGCACTGCAGGGCTGTGGCCTGGCCACTGTGCAGTGGCGGGCAGAGAAGGGACCGCAGGCTGTGCAGACGGGGTCAGATTCCCTTCTAGGAGTCCTCCTGGCCTGGAGGCTGTGAAAAGAGCCCTGGGTTCCTTCACAGCCATTTCTCAGTTTTCCACGGTTGCTGGGGCCTTTGGGTAGCCCCGAGGCTCAGGTGGCTCTGGGGAGAGGGTGTGTGTGTAAGCACACACGTGTGAGCGTCTGTGTGCATGTGTGTCTGTATGTGCCATGTGTGTGTGAAGTGTGCCCCTCCCTGGGTCTCCGCACTGGGAAAAGGGAGAAGGTCTTAGTCCTCAGGTCACTGTCAGCTCCTGCTACAAAGTGACAAAAGGCAGCCAGGACCTGGTGGCCCTGCCAGGAATTCCAGGAGCTGCTGGGCAGAGCCACCAACACCTTCAAACCAATTTACAGAAGTTCTGGCTGCTCTGTGGACTCAGCTGGACAGTGGGCACTGGGTGTGCACCCTGGACACAGTGCCCACGTGCGTGGGAGAGCTGAGCCCTGGCCTTCTGGGTGGAGCCCAGCAGCCCCAGCACAGGCCAGGAAATGGACAGGGCGGGGTGGGGGCACTGTGGCCAGAGGCCCAGTAAGGAAGAGGTGGTCAGGCTTCCTCCAGCTTCCTCATCTGTCTTCCAGCTTGCAGCTGTGAAGAGGGGGCTCCCCCAGTGACGCAGTGTGGACATGGGTACAGCTGGGCCCCTGCCTGCTCTTCCCTGCTGTGCCCTTTAAAGCAGAGGCTACCTGGGGAGCTCAGGAGAGCATGAGCCCTGACATCAACCCTTCCCCAGAGCAGGCCCCACCCCTTTCCTAGGACAGGCCCCGCCCCTTCCCCAGAGCAGACCCCACTCCTTTCCTAGGACAGGCCCCGCCCCTTCCCCAGAGCAGGCCCCACCCCTTCTGCCCCCTCAGGATCTTCCCCAGCGCAGGTGTTGAGGGTCGGGAGGGAGCTGCCCTTCAGGTGGAGGCAGAGTTGGTGCAAATGGAGGGGCAGGGAGATGCAGGGGCTCCCCCCAACTCCGTCCAGTCACTGTGCAGCCCCCTACTTTATTCCCAGTGCCCTCCTCTTCCTCACATAGCTCATGCCCCCAGCTGGGTCCTCCTGGGTCTCCCTGCCTGCTTCCCTGGGCTCACCACAGTGGGCTACACCCACAGCAGAGGAAGTGGGGAGCCAGCCAGGCAGGTGGGCAGCCCCCACCCCCTTGGAGTAGCTGGAAGGATTGGGACCAAGTTCTCCCCTTGCCCAGAGGAAGCTGGCTGTTCCCACGGCGGCCTCGCTGTTTCTGGGAGCAGATGGAAGGCCCCAGCGCACACCCCTCCCTTCCTCCGACGTGAGACTCGCTGCTGTCCCCTTGGCTGAAACAAGCCACTCGCCTGCTGTCAGGTGCTCCGGGGTGCACCAGCAAATCACCACAAACCAGGGCAGGGAGCCACGGGAAAGCCCTTTCCTGCAGTTCGGGGGCTGGGTCTGAGGAGAAGGCCTGGTGGAACCACTCGTGGCTCAGGCTCCGGGAGGGCGCCGCTCAGCCTCGGAGAGGACGCGGTTCAGGCTCCGTGGGACGCTTTCGGCCCTTCCAGCTGCAGGTGGCTCCGGGCGTTCCTTGGCTTGTGGCTGCATTGTCCACGCCCTGCCTCGTCTCCATGGGGGCTTCTCCCGGACGTTTCTCCTCTGGTCTCTTCTAAGGACGCCGGTGGTTGGATTTCAGGCCCACCTGATTGAGAGTTCAGGATGAGCTCATCGAGAAGCCCCTAACTTAATCACACCGGCAAAGACCCTTTCTCTTTCCTTTTTTTTTTTGGAGACAGATTCTTGCTGTGTCACCCAGGCTGGAGTGCAGTGGTGCGATCTCGGTTCACCGCAACCCCTGCCTTCCTGGTTCAAGCGATTCTCCTGCCTCCGCCTCTGGAGTAGCTGGGACTACAGGCACCCGCCACCATGCCCAGCTAACTTTTGTATTTTTAGTAGAGAGGGTTTCACCGTGTTGGCCAGGCTGGTCTTGAACTCCTGACCTCAGGTGATCTGCCCGCCTCGGCCTCCCAAAGTGCTGGGGTTACGGGAGTGAGCCACGGCGTCTGCCCCCGAAGTCTTGGTGGCTCACGGCAGCAGGGTTCTGTCTGGCTTACACGCTGTCTGTGGCAACGTGGCTGGTGCCCTCCTCCTCATCCACTCACTCCAGGGCCTAGGCGGTGGGAGCAGCTATAGCCTCTGTGGTCACAGCGTGGAGACAGGGGCAGGAGGGTCTTCCTGTGTCCAAGTCCCCTGAGATTCTGGCTCTGCTCAGACACCAGGGCCCTGGGGCTGCAGTACCACCACCAAGCAGAAGAGGGTGCCAGAGACGTGCGGAGGATGTAAAAACCATAGGACCTGAGGGGCAGACAGGTGCCTGACGGAAGTCACAGCGGGACTCGACTTGCTTCTGTCAAAAAATCAAGCCCAGGCTGGAAGGAGCAGTCTCAGCCTGCTTAGGAAAACACGTCGGACCCCTTGGTGGGACGCGGGACTCCCTCCCACAGAAGCCGGGCACACGGGAGATGTTGGCCACGGCTGTGCCTTCCCTCCACGGGGCACTGGAGGCTTCACCAAGGCCGCAGGACAAGAGCGAGAAGAAACGAACAGCAGCACCGGGAGGAGCAGAGCTCTGACTCGTGCCATTTGCATCTGCTTCTTTTGCCGTGTTGCCCCGGCTGGCCTTGAACTCCTGGGCTCAAGTGATCTGCCTGCCTCGGCCTCTCAAAGTGCTGGGATTACTGATGTGAGCCACGGTACTGGCCCTCATTTAATGTAATATGATTATCAAGATGTAAAAGCTAACTGGCCGGGCGCGGTGGCTCAGGCCCGTAACCCCAGCCCTTTGGGAGGCCAAGGTGGGGTCAGATCTCCTGAGGTCAGGAGTTCCAGACCAGCCTGGCCAACATGGTGAAACCCCGTCTCTACTAAAATTACAGAAACGACCCAGGGGTGGTGGTGGGCGCCTGTACTCCCAGCTACTTGGGAGTCTGAGGCAGGAGAATCGCCTGAACCCAGGAGGCGGAGCTTGCGGTGAGCCGAGATCGCGCCACTGCGCTCCAGCCTGGGCGACGGAGTGAGACTCTGACTCAAGAAAAAAAAAAAAAAAAAAAAAGAGAAGACGTAAAAACAAAAGAAATTGTGACTTTATGATGTGAACTCACGCGAGGGTTCGGTAACTTTGTGTTGGCCACGAGTCCGATGAAGGAAAAGCGATAGTTTATGTTCACAGCAGAGAAACCCGGTCGGAATGTCATAGAGAAACATCCCCTTAACCGCCTCAAAACCTACGAAGATGCCCGTGTCGGCCACATCGGATGGAAGGGTGTCCAGGCCGTGAGGACAGCGTTGCGAAGGGCGACTGGCTGGAGAGGCGTGTCCCGTTTGTGAACGAAAAGGTTTCAGTTTTGAAAAACGAGGTCCATGAAAGAAACTGAACACTGAGGCCGCCTCTGCCAAACGGCCTTTCACAATCCCGGCTGAGCTTTTCGTGGGATTTGGTGGGCTGGTCCGAAAGTTCCACGTGGACGGCCGAAAAGCCAAGCAGAGCTACACGAATTTCAGGGAAGAATCACGTGGGAGGCCGTCTCTCTGGGCCTCCTGCCTCTGAGACGGCGTGGCGTTGGTGCAGGGACAGGCAAGTGGATGGCTGGAACAGCCCATGCGCTCACGGTGAAGTTCTGAGGCGGGCGGGTGCTCCACGTCTGCAAGGAAGGAGGACTGTCCCCCCCGTGAGCGCTCTGGGCGGATGCTTCCTCCACGTGGGGAAATTAGGTGCCTGCGTCACGCTCCAAACAGAATAAACAGCAGGGAGATTAAACTCCGACGTGGAAAGCTAAACCCGAAAACGCTTAGAAGGAAAACGGCGTAATAACTATGACCTCCGGGCAGGAAAGGGTTTCTTAGCCGAGTCACTAAAGTCACAGGCCACCAAAGAGGGAGCATCTGACCACACTACACTTTAAAACTGTTTGAAAAAAGACGACATAGTAAAATGCGAGCCACGGAGTGGAAGGAGGTTCTTCTGCGCATCTGGCGCCGAGGGCCGGGGTCCAGGACATCCAGTGAACGTCACCGTCAGACAAGCAGCCCAAGGCTGAGGCTTGCGTCACACAGGACGAAACGCAGCGAGAAGCCAGCGGAGAGGCTCCGCCGCCGGGACCCCGGGGGGTGCGTGCTGATCGTCTCACACCTCCAGAGAGGGCACACTTGCCACGTTCAGTGGAGAGCGGTTGGTCAGGGCAGCCAAGCTGAGGACACCGTTCTGCTTCCGGGCACCCGGGGAGTGTGGCGAGTGGCAATGGCCTGAGTGCCCGTCCACCAGGAACCTGCTGCTTCTCCCGGCATATTCGTCCCCAGGATGGGGCCCAGCCCTAGACCAGAACTGCCTGTCCTGACAAGGCTGCGTGGCAAACCCACCATGGAGCAGAGAGAGTGAATCGCAGGCCTCCCTAACCCTGTGCCCGGGTGCCGCAGCCCTCCCTAACCCTGTGCCCGGGTGCCGCAGGCCTCCCTAACCCTGTGCCCGGGTGCCGCAGGTCTCCCTAACCCTGTGCCCGGGTGCCACAGGTCTCCCTAACCCTGTGCCCGGGTGCCGCAGGTCTCCCTAACCCTGTGCCCGGGTGCCGCAGGTCTCCCTAACCCTGTGCCCGGGTGCCGCAGGTCTCCCTAACCCTGTGCCCGGGTGCCGCAGGTCTCTCTCTAACCCTGTGCCCGGGTGCCGCAGGTCTCTCTCTAACCCTGTGCCCGGGTGTCGCAGGTCTCCCTAACCCTGTGCCCGGGTGCCGCAGGTCTCCCTAACCCTGTGCCCGGGTGCCGCAGGTCTCTCCCTAACCCTGTGCCCGGGTGCCGCAGGTCTCTCTAACCCTGTGCCCGGGTGCCGCAGGTCTCTCTAACCCTG